TGTGGACTTCTCCGAGCAGTACCAAGATGAGTTGATTCGCGAGACTTATAAAGCGTTTGACGTTCTCTGAAGTGATTGGCGAAGAGATGATCTGGAATTTCGCTGATTTCTTGACAGAAATGAGTGCGTGAAAATATAAAATCTAATGCTTTTAACAAGAGATTTTCTTCAGAGTGCTTAACTTTGATTGCGTGATTAGCGAGATCTTCAGAGTGCCTAAATTTGTCTTTTTGTCTTGTCAACCACTCTTTCTGATGCATTATACGTAGATTTATACGAAAAACTCTCGAATTTGTGGAGTTTTCACTGTCGAATTTGCTTGAAAGTGAACCGAAATTGACTTAAAAAGATGGGAAATTGAAGAATAAACGCTTTTTATTTATAGAAAACCATAGGTTTATTGATGAATTTGTTATTTTTTAACGAAAGTATGAAAAAGGAACGAAAAGGCTGGCCTGAGGCTTGAGATTAAGGCTGGTCTGAGTCTTGAGAATAAGGCTGGACTGAGTCTTGAGAATAAGGCTGGCCGATAAATCTTTGAACATTTTTTGATAAGAAATAATTAGTATATAATGGAGGGCTGTTTGTCTGTCTGTTCGTCCGTCCGTCCGTTCGTACGCAAACTTAAAGGTAGAACGCTGGGTGAAATCGAGTAGTCAAAAAGAACGAAGGCTCGATGATGCTGATGATGATGATGCTGCTGCTGCTGATGATGCTGATGCTGAAGATGATGATGGTATAGACACACTTTAGCTAAGGAAACCCATCTTCATGTCTCTAGATAAAAGATAGAGCACAAAAAGTTTTGTGTATAGCCAAATTTTCAGAGAGATTCATTGAGCCAATTACTTTGCAGAGGTTTTTATAGATTTATAGTTTTATAGTATAGTTTTTTTTACAATAGTTTTCTTCGATTTACAAGAAGTACAAGAAGTGTATCTCCTTGATATAAATGAAAAAAAAAGAGATTCAAAATTCTGGCAACATAATAAAGCAAACAACGTTAAAGATATTGGTAAAACGGGCTAAATTCTCTACACGAAAATTGGCAATACAAAAGGTAATATATATATTTTTTTTGATCTGCCTCCGCACTTAGGTGTTCCTATTTTGCGCAGACGACGACCTGTTTCCACATTTTTCGTCGTCTTCGTCGTCGTCAGTTCGTCTTCCCCGGCTGCGAAGGTTGGGGCGTAGCAGCTGTAGACGACGATGTCGCGTAGCAGCTGTAGACGGCGATGTCGCATAGCAGCTGTAGACGACGATGTCGCGGTTTCTCGGTGGCTTGAGGTGGAGGACTGCGAGTCGTGGAGTGATGATCTCATGGCTATCGACGAGTGGCACGATGTCCTTGTTGACCAGGAAGCCTACTCCTCCGATGTTCTTGTTGGTGACTTTGTGGCCAAGTATGAGCAGGTCGCCGTTCGCCTGTGTCTTCGTGTATGATCTTTGGCCTTTGTTTGGCCTTCTTGGAGGGCGATGATGTAGAATTTGATCTTCTTGCTCATCTCATGGAGTGCGGTCTTATCGGCTTGCGAGGCGGCGTTGAAAATTGTCCTGGCGTTGTCCTGGCGTTGAAAGTGCAGAGTCGGAGGCTTGGGCTTTGTCGTCTCGTCGAGTTCCGTTCCTTGGTCCTTTGCTTGATCCCTCGATGCCGGAAGAGAGCAGGGAGGCCGTGCGGGGTACTGAAGCAGAAGTGTAGTTGTCGTAGCCGATGATACTCCGATGGCTGGGGTGCTTGGGAACCCACAGAAGTCGAAGCCATGACTATCCCATGACGTTGCTTAACTTGGCAAATTGGACGGGCAGACTGCAGGCCCTTCCTCTTCTAGGTCCCCAAGGCAATATATACAAAAGGTAAATTGTTTAGATCCAAAATTTGAATTTGGTGTTGGAATATTCGGCACACCGGCTTTATTTGCCTTGATCTTTTATTATCTACATTTAAATCAATAGCCTGATCAGGTGAACCTGTGTCAGGCCAACCCTTGAGCAAAGTTTTAAACTCATCCTGGCTCATACTACTAGGTTGTCCAGTTATGAATGCGCGCCTGCTCTTGAACAGCGTACCTTAGGGCTATACAATTTTATCGAACCCTATTCTCTATATGCTGTTCAAGATTTCTTATTTATTACAACTTTTCGTGTTTTTGACGTTAAACTAATCCATTTTTGATTTAATTTCCGTGTTTAGATGACCGAGACGAAATTTCGTCTTCGTGCCAGTCTTTGGTATGACTTCAAATTGGGCAAAAATGCCGTTGAATCTCATCGAGATCTCTGCGAAGTATTTGGCGAAGATGCTATTTCGGAAAGCCAGTGTCGCCGATGGTTTCAACGATTTCGAGAAGGAAATGAGTCTTTGGAAGACGAAGACCACCAACGACGACCTCCTGCAATCGATAATGCAGTACTGAAGCAGGCAATAGAAATGGATCCTCGACAAACTACACGCGAACTTGCAGAAATATTTAGAGTAAGCCCTCAAACAATTTCCGAGCATTTAAATCAATTGGGGAAAACAAGCCGACAAGGGAAATGGATTCCTCATCTTCTCAGCAATGCCAATAAAGCTACTCGTGTCACTATGGCGGGTATTCTTCTTCGTTTGGCAAAAAATACTGGGTTTTACGATGAAATCCTTACTTGCGATGAAAAATGGATTCAATATGATAATTCTACACGAAAGCGGCAATGGCTAGAACCTGGTGAGGAGCCAATACCAACACCAAAACCCGACTTCCATGGCAAGAAAGTAATGCTTACTGTCTGGTGGAATTCCCAAGGCATTGTTTATTTTGAGCTGCTTAAACCTGGACAAACAATCACGGGTAAAACGTATGCACAACAACTGGAACGAGTGAACAATGTATTGCTACAAAAAGGCCTTGATCCTTCAAACATAAAGTTCATTCAAGATAACGCCTGTCCACACGTTGCAAAGATTGTTCAGGAAAAACTTGAAGAGTGGGGCTGGGAAACTCTCCCGCATCCGCCATATTCTCCGGATATTTCTCTTTCGGATTACCATTTATTTTGCTCAATGCGAAACCATTTGGCTGGAAACAGGTTCAAAGATGTTCAAGAGGTCGAAAAATGGTTAGCCGACTTCTTTGCCTTAAAACAAGGGCAATTTTTACGCCGAGGGAATTCATTCTTTGCATGGAAGATGGAAACAAATATTGTTAACAAATGGTGAATATATTGTTGATTGAGCTGTTAAACTGTTGGTTTTAAAATAAAGAGTTGTTATCTTAATCTTGTTCTCTTAATCTTGTTAATCTTGTTATAACTGGACAACCTAATATTATATAGACAGATAAAGTAGTATCATAATATTACTAAAAGACTATTACTACAGTACTTTTACTATATACAATTACTAGATCTTTTCTCTACAACTTTATTAAAGGTCTAGAATCGAAACTCTCAATCGTTGATTGTCTCCTTTCAGTTCAACCATTTTCCGTTGGCAATCTACGAATTTTTCTCGTATTCTAGCCGGGGTTTTTTTTTGATTTGTTTATTTGCTTTATTTGATTTGTTCTGATTGATTTGAGTGCTTTGATTTGTTTATTTGCTTTATTCGATAGAGATTTGATAGAGATTTGATAGAGATTTGATAGAAATTTGATAGAAAATTTCATTTCAAGTCGAATGAAAACAGATTCAACCTTTTTTTCAAACAAACCCATCTAAGATACAAGGAAAATACGTAGATTGCCAGATTGCCAACGGCAAACGAACCGAAAAAAGGTAGCGGAGTTAACATGGCGACTCCAATCCAAACAAGAACCTGACCTGTGCAGCTGTATCTTTGAATTCTTTCAGCATTTCCCCTCGTCCATTTTTCTTTATGATGAACTTGATGATGAATGATGAATTTGATCTATGAGTTGTTCCAAAATTTATGCCAGTGACGTTTTTTGCATCTCTGCCCACTCAATTTTTCACTTTTCCTGTCTCTTCCCTTTTGATTACTCAATTTTTGTCATTTTTGTTCATTTCCCTTTGCAGAAACTAGGTCAAGAGTATAAAAAAGTCAAAAAAATTGACCTTTCAAACTGGTTTACAACGAATTTCATGCATTGAAGTAATGCTTTTTTTTTTGAGAGAGGATTTGTTTCTTGCTGATGATACGCTGAGGATACGTATCCTTTCTAGCGTAGACGTAAACGTATCCTTTCTATCGTACACCTAAACGTATCCTTTCTACCGTACAAGTAAACGTACCCTTTCTAGCGTACACGTAAACGTATCCTACCGGGATTGAACGGCTGTTGATTGAAAAATCAACAGCCGGGATTGAATCCTCGACCACCCGACTAGGAAACAAAACTCCTAACCACTCGATCCATTGAACTGTTGTTTGGTGTCGGTAGAATATTCTCTTAACCGAGAGGTGCGGCTTCGAATCCTAGACTTTAGACTAGACTAGTAAACGACTAGACTAGACTAGACTAGTAAACGTATCCTTTCTACCATACACAATTCTTCTTTTTTCCTATCATTGTCACAAGATAATGAATTCAATGCACCAGAAGGGATGGGTTTACAAAATTTGATCACAAAGTACAATAAAGCGCACTTAGCAATTATGGCAATTATTATAACTTAGCAATTATAGCAATTATATCAGGCAATCATCAATTATAATAAAATTAGAATTATCTGAAAGTTGTTCCAGATTTGACAACGATTTTTGTCATGTCATTGCACGAGATTATGAAATATTTTGTTTGATTTCATCTTTAAAAGAATCAAACAATATCTAGATCAAGGTCATTTTTGAAAATCCTTTATCTTTTTACTTTTTTTGCTTGTCCTTAAAAAGCTTTATGGCAAACACATTTCTCTGTTATCAAACCCGTCAAAAAGAGGGCAATTTGCGGCAAAAAAAATCGCCGAATTGATTAGTTTTTGTCTCTTCAGATAGTCCAGAAGATCTTTTATAGATTTAGATTGCAAATTTTTCGATTTTTCTATTTTTCTATTTTTCTATGACTTCTTTAAATCACGGCTGGCCGATCGCTTTCTGGACATTATTAGCGCTGAGTTTGGTCGAGGTGAGTGTAGTTTGAGCTTAATTCTAGTTCTAGCGTTCTAGCGTTCTAGCGCTCTCATTTCTAGCATTCTAGCGCTCTCATTTCTAGCATTCTAGCGCTCTCATTTCTAGCGTTCTAGCGATCTCAATTCTAGCGTTCTAGCGATCTCATTTATAGCGTTCTAGCGTTCTAGCGCTCTCATTTATAGCGTTCTAGCGTTCTAGCGCTCTCATTTCTAGCGTTCTAGCTTTCTAGCGCTAAAATCCTCATTTTCTAGCAATATTCAATGATTAATGTAAGAAAAATGAAGAAACAAATGCACTAGAGATCGCACATTTACCGGTTTACTCAGGTCGGACCCTTGACCTGTGTGCCGACCCGCCCTGGGAGTCGTAAAGCACATCGGCTGTGGTGTTTGACCATCTTTAGTCTTTATCTTCACCACTTTAGTATCACCATCTTTAGTAGATGAGTGTGGAATATTAGTAAGCTGTGGTGCTGGGAAATATTAGCCCATCAACCCCTAATAACGCAGCCCAGCTGCCACAGCCATAGTCGCTTCACGTCATTTAAGCTTCTACGTCTAGAATGGGATTTTAAATGGTCGACTCTCGATCGTCAGCACCAGAAAGAGTGCGTTTAGAGAATTGCGCTTAAAGCAGTGCTTAATGTAGTGCTTAATGTATGCAAAAACTTGTATAAATCGAAACTTAAGATGAAAAAGCTAAACTTAAGAACAAAAACTTCTATTTTCTTAACGAAACTTAACTAAACTTCTAAACTTCGATGTTTTCTATCAATTAAACTTATAATTACTTAAATTACTGTACTTTCAGTGTATTTTGGAGTCTCTTGGGGTCTTTAAGCTCAAAATCATAAACACTTCCTTTCTGGCGCTCTTTCTTCCCATTCATTCGGGCAATTTACGTACAGTAATTTACGTACAGAGTAGGCCACGTGGGCTAAGGATGGTCTTTTCAAAAATTTGTTTTTGTCTTTTGAAAAAGTACCAGCAGCAGCAAAAGGACAAGAAAAAGCTTACTAATATTCTACACTCATCTACGGTGATACTAAAGAGGTGAAGATAAAGACTAAAGATGGTTGTTTCAAACACTACAGCTGATGTGCTCACGACGCACACGAGTCGGAGCTCTGACCTCAGACCTCAGACCCCAACCCGTTTGAATTAACGTTTTGTGAAAGCTATAGAAAGAAAGAAAGCAAAGAAAGCAAAGAAAGAAAGCAAAGAAAGAAAGAAAGAAAGCAAAGAAAGAAAGAAAGAAAGCGAAGAAAATTTAAACAGATTCAAGAAATTCTAATCGAATTTACAGTACTGGACAATGAAAAATCATATTTGAAAAAACACTTTCGCACTTTCGCGCGTCTGTAACTCCCTTGTCTTTGAGTTTAAACTATTAGTGTTATACATTTTCTGAAAGCTCTTTTCAAGGGCTACACAATGGTAATCTTAATATTTAGAAATACGGTAAAGACAAGCGAGTTACAGACGCGCGAAAGTGCGAAAGTGTTTTTTCAAATATGATATTTCATTGTCCAGTAGTGTACCTCGCTAAAAGAATAAAATACAATTATTATCAAAAAATACCTCATTTAGGCGTGTCTATTCGTTTGGCATGGAGTGATTCTCGGTGTTTTGCCTCTTTCAACGTCTCTTCTCTTATTGCTCTCTCTTGCTCCACCAAAGGAACCAACCGAGAGTCTGCGAAGCTTTTTCTGGAAGTGAGCTTTTTGAATATCTTACCGTAAATACTCTAATAGTACCCCACCCCCATAATGACGGTGCGGAGCGTTGTGTAGTCTAGCTTTGAACCCATAAATTACAATCGTTTTCGAAAGTTGAAATCAATTCTATTACGTTAGTGAATAAGTCTTTTCGTTCTTTCCCATACTTCCATTGAAAAATAACAAACCAAGCTCTAACCTGGCCTTCTGGTCAAGCTTTGACCTGACCTTGCCTAATTTTGACATCTACTTATCTACTTTACTAGATGTAAAAGTGTCTGTCTGTGCGTCTGTACGAGCTTTTCTCAGCCGTTTTTAAGCCAAAAGAAAAGCCCTTGAGATTCTCTATTTTTTGAGCTACAGATCATGTCAATCTGTCAGATTTGAAGGAAATTAGAAGCGTTTGTAGTTTACGTTTGTAGTTTGTAGTGTCCAAATCTAAAAAGCACTCCAAAACATCCAGGAAAGCCCGTTAGGCGAGTTTTTCGGCTAGTCTGCTAAATATTAGGTTGATGCAAAAGTCTTTTTCATTTTTTTCGTACTTCTTTTGAAAAATAACAAAGTCATCAATTAACCTATGGTTTGCTCTAAATGAAAAGTGTTTATTGTTGAATTTCCCATCTTTTTAAGTCAATTTGGGTTCACTTTCAAGCAAATTCGAGAGTGAAAACGGGTTTTTCATAAAAATCTATAAAAACCTCTATAAAGAAATTGGCTGAATCAATTTCTCTGAAAATCTGAAAAAATATCTAACTTTTTGTGCTCTATCTTTTATTTATTAACATCAAGATTGGTCTCCTTAGCTAAAGCGTCTAAAATTCATCATCGAGCCGTCGCCTTTTTTGACTACCCGACTTCAGGCGCTCAAAAAAATCTAGACATAAGACATTTTAAACTCGTTTTAATGTCATTTTGCAGAAAAATAATTGGCCTTTCGAATGCAATAAACCGTTGTTCAATTGGTGCATTTGTTACTTTTTAACGGAAGTACGAAAAAAATGAAAAAGACTTTTGCATCAACCTAATAGATGCAAATAAGTTTATTTTTAGCATTCGCCAATATCAGGCATATCCTAATTAGGCAATAAAAAGTGCCATAAACTTCTTTTTAGACTAGTAGCCGGTGTGGTGCTGGTGGGAGTGGTGTTCGTGAATTGCACACATGCGCTCGAGCTGCTAACCGAACAGATCGGTCCCACGGACAATCACCATCATGGACACAACGAAGCTGGGCAGATACCGAGTTTCTTTTTGTGAATTTTAAGCTATATATTTTCTGTTTTTAGTCAGCTACCTAATGACAGCGGTTGTGGATGCTTTGTTGAAGGGGTTTTTCGTGTTCTCGGGTCGAACTCCGACATTCGGTTATCGACACTCGGCACCGATTTTTGCTCTTCTTTGCACGCCGGCAATTGCAGTGAGTTGACAAATACAGTGCTTAGCAATATCCAGTAATTATATTGTATTGTTTTTGCTAGGCTGTAGTTGCTGTAGTTAGCTGTAGTTGCTGTAGTTAGCTTGAATCTCGAGCTTCAATCTTGTCTTGTTAAAATGTCATGAAGCAGGCAGACAGACAGACAAACAGACATCTCTTCTGCTTTATATATAGTAGATAGATATTCTAATGCAGTTATCATTAGGTAGCCTGTGTCGCTGGTGGGACACAATTCTTGCACAGTGACCTCTGGCTGTGGGAGCACTTGGTCCCCATCTCAACCCTTGTCCTTTCCGGCTCAACAATTGCACTCATCATACCCTATTGTAAGTATTCGATTTGCATCTCTATTAAGTACATTAAGACAATAATAATACGCACATTTGCTCTTGTAATAGTCATGATTTAGTCAAATACCTCAAGGACTACATCTTTCACTCGGCGCCCGAGACTTTCAACGTGAATACGCTGAAAGAGGAGCTGCATAGCAAGGTAAAGTGTTGAGCAATGCTAATATCGAAGTGTTGAGCAATGCTAATTTGTACAGTAATATCGAAATATTTCATTCTCCTTAATATAGTTTCTTTCAGTTATCTCAAGTTCGAATCCGTCATTGTCACGTTTTCCGGGTGTGGCCTCGAGGAGCCGTTGAGGCTCATTTCAGGTTATCGATAGAGGTGAGTTCAAAAAAAATTGATAGAAAAAACTTTTTCACTAATTTAAAGATTAGCTGAATAGCTGATTAGCTGAATAGCTGAATAGCTGAATAGCTGAATAGCTGAATAGCTTATAGAAAAATTAAATAGCTTATAAAATTTCAGGTAAATAAGCAAGATCAAAATTGGGGAAAAGAAGGAGAAAAGGTTTTTGAAGAAGCGAATCGCTTCATCCGGGAGCATCTCGTTGGAAAGTGCGAAAGCAATAAAGTGAGTCTGGTGTACTTGCTGAATACGTGAATAAACCCTTTCTGGTGCACTGAAATCTCTATTTTATACCAACTGTTGGAGAAAAATGGAGATTTGAGTGCGTCAGATTGATGCGTTTACAGATTTAAGCACAAACCAAGTCCAGTATCAAGCTGAATCGATTTCAATTGAACCAAAGACTCTGAAAGATCTTTAATCTTCTCTCTTTAGAGCCAGTTGAATATGTTTATTTCCAAATTTCCAAAAAATGCATCCTAGATTGTGATCGAGCCACATTTCGTCGATCGACGCTCTCCAAAAGAAGAAAAGTACCCAATTTGTGTGAATGGCGCGTGTCAAAGCAAGCGGCTCACCTGTTGCTCTCCGGAAGAGATCTCAGAAAATTGCGGTTCCGCTAAAGTTTAAGAGTCTAGTGTTTGTGAATATCGTACCACTGAAACCCAATAAAGATTATTTCAATACATGAAATGTGCACGTTACAGCTAAACAATTCGTATAACACTTTATTGATCAAAAGCTTTATAAGTCGATTCTCGATTCGTGTCTCTTATTCCAAAAAAGCATTTTCTTGTGAGCAAATGGCCCAATCCAAAGCCGATGAAGAAAAGGAGTAAAATTGAGGTGCTGAGGGCAAGAGTTGAGATTTTCGATAGACATATTTGTTGTTGGGAAGAACTCGATTCCAGGGCAGTTTCATTTCCATCTAAAGCTTAGCGTTCACGCTAATCTAAGCTATTCTGAAAAGCCAAGAGTTATTACTGTTGGCCTAAAACCAGAAGTTATTACTGGCCAAGAGCTATTACTGTTGGCTTTGGCTTGGACTAGCCTAAAAAATCGGCTTTAGAAGCAGTTCTGAAGCTAACTTTCTAAAAGGCATCTATTTTAGACCGTAGAGCACCGTTATCTCTAGCACCGTTAGCACCGTTATCAAACCGCCATTTTTCATTCGATCAGCCCAATTTTGGTATCATTCGATGAGGAATCGCAAGGCTCAATCAATGATACCAAAATTGAGCTGATCAAATGAAACTGGATGATGAAAAGGCTAAGGAACACCTTTTAATGTGGTACTGTGTCCAAGTCCCATTACCTAAACTTTTCTCAAACGGTAACACAAGGACATCGACGGAGAGCTCAGATTGCAAGGCTCGTACATGTCGAGTTTCGGGCGTGGTTGGAGTTGTCTGCGAAATTTTCTAAAAACAAATATCAAACATAGTTAGTAACTAACTCGCTAACCTAACACCTTTAGACTTATCAACCCTTTTCTAAAATGATTTAACACAAAACCCAAGGCAAAGTAAGAAGAAGATCGCGCTGTGGAAGATTATTTAGATTTGCGTTTTAGTTCAAAGGAATTGGTTAATTTAAGTTTATACGGCATGTGAATGGAATGGAAGAAGCCGAAAAGAAAACGAAATAAAAGCGTATTAGAATTTTAAACAACAAACTTTGGGCAAACAATATAAAAAGGAGGGAATGAACGAGGGGATAGAGAGTACTTTAAAAACGCGTTACAAAAACAACGGTTGAACGTTTACGAATGGACGTTTACCATTGAACGTTTACGAATGAACGATTCCTAATGAACGATTACGAATGAACGATTCCTAATGAACGATTCCTAATGAACGATTACTAATGAACACATGAACGCAAAAACGTACGAGCATTTTGAACGTATCAAAGCATGAAAGCATGACATTTACAACATGCCAAATGAAGGAAAAATGAAAAGAATGGCAAAAGGGGAATTTTGTGCTCATCCACGCTTTAGAAAGGGAACTTAGCGCATGAAAGTAAAAGTAAAAACATAAAAGTAAAAACATAAAAGTAAAAACCTAAAAGTAAAAACATAAAAATAAAAACATAAAAGTAAAAACATAAAAGTAAAAACATAAAAGTAAAAGTAAAAACAAAAAAGCTCTCGATTCCAAATAAAGAAAAATGAAAAGAATGGCAAAAGGGGAATTTTGTGCGGGGTACGGTGCTCATCCACGCTTTAGAAAGCACCGCATGTCGCTTTTGCGCCAGTCCCTTAAAACCGCATGTCAATAAGAATCTAACTCATAGTACGTGCCTAAATGTATCTAAATATCTATCTAGATCTGTTTTTTTTTATAACATTAACGTCCTAAGTACGTTTCCGGAACATTTCCCCACCTGTTTCACTACGGTATACCCGGTCGAGGTTTTGTGCGTTTTCGGGGTCCTTGTCGTTTTGAAAAACCGGGATTTTCTCGTAGAAATCTTCGGGTTTTCTTTAGAACTTTCTAAAGCTTAGATTACTTTTCTAATTATAAATCTACTAGTCAATCTACTAGTCAAAGTTAAAAATTCAAACCAATAGTCGAATTCTTCGGTAAAACCTCGATATTGTTGGCGACGAGGATCGGTTTGCTAAGGGATTTATTTGAAAAAGGTTTTTCATCAGAAAACTCGTTCTACATTTAAAAAATGGATAAAACTACAGTATGCTGTGATTATAAAAGCACTTTTTTACAAAAGCACAAAGTACACTCAGCAACAAACCCCTTCAAAATCGTATTCCCTTTCGCAGCCGCGTGTTCACCTAAACTTGAGCATTATTATTTGAAATTGAGCTAAAATTTTAAAATTAAACACTAATTTCTCGTGATCCTGATTCAGAGTGCTCAAATCCAGAGTCATAGGATTCAGTTGGGCTGAAAAGAACAGTACTTTAGGCAAAGAAATAAAACGATACCCATGAGGAAGAAGGACGAACGGGCGTGGGTGGAACTCTAAATGGATTGCTTAAAAATGGATAGCTAAAAAGTGGATAGCTTTTTAAAAAAGATTCATCAAATTGGGTTCAGTCTTATAGAAGCTTGTAGAAGATAACATAATTTTAGAACCTGTATTGGCCGGTGGAATCGCCAGATTGGACCCGGAACCTTGCTCGGGTCCACCATGACAAATCGGAGGCTAAAAACTTTTCTTTTCTTTTCTTTACGAACTTTTCAGCACTCATAGTCAGTTTTAAAATGTGCTCTGGCTACCGTAACCTGTAAGCTACCTGCTACTTGAGCTATTTTATTCATTTAGCAACATTTCCCATGATGGGATTTCTTTTAAAAACGCACCGTCACTCCCTCACAGCCTCCATCGTGTCGAAAGCACAATTGTACAGAGCACCGGAAGTAGACTTGGACCTAAGAATAGGTTTTGAATGTTAGACATAGCTAAATAGACAAGGCTAAATTATATAATGGATACTTTACCTTATCAGCAAACTTGAAAATCCGGCTATGGACACGGGCGGCGAGGGAATGGACGGCGTAGTCGAGCGGTGGCAGCAGGAGGGGATCCGTTGAACAACTGAAAGTTATAAATTTGAAAATATCAACACTAGAGTGTTTGGTACAAGAGTAAAGTAATTAGAGGGTGTAATTAGAGGGTTTTCCTCGCGAGTAATGCATTTTTTAAAACGTTTTTTTATTGGAAAAAATGACCATACTTTTAGCAAAAATTATTGCAAAAAAATGGCGCAAAAATCACGAGGGTTGCCTTATATACGCCTTTTTCAAGATAGCTTTTGAGCTTTTGCCGAGATATTCAGCTGTTTAACTGATTTGGTGGGAAATTCCCTTCTAAAGTAAAGATATTGAATTTACTCGTCGTGTAAAGAGTAGTTACTCGTAGTTACTCGACGAAAAAACGTCGATTAATCGAGTAAAAATTAGTCATGCAAATTTTACTAGAGTAATTACCGTATTTCTTCGAATAGAAGACCGGGTAAAGAGTATCATCGCGTACTCCTGCGTAGCAGCCCTTTCTAAAATTTCTTTTCTGCATAAAAGCTTTCAATGAAGTGCTATAGGGCTGGAAAATGACTCAAAAATACCACATGAGCTACCGTATTTCCTCTAATAAACGCCCCCCCCTTGACCAACTTTGGACGCTTCGTTCTCAGCCCCATTTTGAGGTATTTTTATGTTTAATATATCAAAAGATAGCCCTTAATGTCTTCTATCTTTTGATATATTAAACATAAAAATATCTCCAAATGGAGCTGAGAACGAAGCGTCCAAAGTTGGTCAAGGGGGGGCGGGGCGTTTATTAGAGGAAATACGGTAACAGATTTTTGAGTCCATTTCCAGCTCTATAGCACTTGATTGAAAGCTTTTATGCAGAAAAGAAATTTTAGAAAGGGCTGCTACGCAGGAGTACACGATGATACTCTTTACCCGGTCTTCTATTCGAAGAAATACGGTACTTACTCGCAAGGAACACACTCTAATCTAATAGTATTTTCCTTATAGCATGTCCAGAGGAAGGCCAGAGGAAAACCAGAGGATAATCTTTATATTGAGCATCTTCTCGTTTACGATTAGCTTAGTTAGCACTGGAGTAACCTGATCAACGATAGGTGTTGTTAGACCTTACAATATCACTAATTAGTAAAAACGAAGCGTTGTATCAATAGGTACGGTTAAATCTAATAAAATATCAGTAGAAAATCTTTTGGGATGTCTTTTTTCTCTTAAAATTTACCCATTTGAATCGATGAGCTCAAAGTGTTCTCCACTCCCATCCTCGACCACACAGCTGTGGATCAAGAGGCCGAAGACCGAAGGGACATCTGGAAATCGATTGTCTTACAATTGTAACTTAAAGAAAACATACTGTAACTTTAATAAGCTTTTAATAGCGTCAATAGTAGTCTAATGGAATGCCGTATTTACTCGAATAGAAGACCGGCCTCGAATATACTATTGTACCCTGCGGTAGAAAAATTGGATTGAAATATTGGTTACCAAGTTTCCTAAAAATATTTACCTAATGCAAAAAATAGAAAACCGGTTTTCTATTCGAGTAAATACGGTATGTGATCTCAAAAAAGTACCAGGATGGCAAGTCCACGAGTGAACAACCGGCTGACCGACACGGGCAAATTGCAGTTCTTCTCCTAGAATACGATAAGATTTAGGTAAAGATTAGAATTCTTGACTTTTTCTGGCTTTATTACGTGCCGTAAATACTGTAATAGTACCCCACCCCTCTCGCACAGTCGCGTACTCGCAAAAGTTTTTTAGTATTTCATTTTTTTCAAAGCGCCTGTACTTTCAAAAAATACGTCTTTGGTATCAAAAAATAGCCCTGAATTTCAGCTATTTTTTGATACCTAAGCGCGCACTGTAGCATAAACCAGTGTCGAGAAACGCTCGTTCAAAGCTAGATTACACAACACTCCGCACCGTCATTATGGGGGTGGGGTACTATTACAGTATTTACGGTAAGTACTTTGTTTCTACAGGCTAATAGCTGGTGGCTAATAGCTTATTAGTAATACAATACTTATTAGTAATAAGTATTGAACGCTGTAATAAGTAATACGTAGCTAGTAAGCTAGTAATACGTATTGTCGCGTGCTTGAACGCGTGTGACTCCTCGAGCTTGGTTCCAAATCTTATGATTAACATACCAAAATGTTGCTAAGAGTCTAGGGAATCTAAAGCTATGCATAGATTTTTAAGAAAATCACTGTGAAAGATTTTATTGCGATTCTTATGCTTCCAAAAAAGGTACTTTCCCCAAAATCAATTCTAAGCTTCTCATACAAGTAGAATCTTTATTTTTATATCTTTATTCAGTTAATTTTTAAAATTTTCATTTTAAATGTTGCCTTAAATGTTTTTTTTATTAAAATAAATTGAAATTTGGCTTAAATTAATGAAATTTTATAAAATTTCATCAAATTGTGGCTCTCATTTTTTTTCTCTTAAGAAAAGCAAAAAATAGCCAGCCAAATACGAGCTTACCCGGTTTTAACTGAAAAAAGATGAAAAGCAAAAAGAAAACCAAAATTTCAAGCACTTTTGCTTTTGTGAGTTTGGCGTTTTGAGCATTATTCATAAAAGATTTTACACTAAACTTAAAAACGAGCACCGAGGAGGGTGCTTTTTTTGAATCGCAATAAAATCTTTCACAGTGATTGTCTCAAAAATTCATGCATAGCTTTAGATTCCCTAGACTCTTAGCAACATTTTGGTATGTTAATCATAAGATTTCAAACTAAGCTCGAGGAGTAACACGCGTTCAAGCACGCGACAACAGAAATAACCGGTCCTTTTCTTCTAGGCTCATATTTCTGTTATTTGTAGACGAAAACGATTAATTTCTTTTTTAAATGAAAATCCCTATCATTTTCTGTATATGTTCAAGATTTCATGGCCATAGAATAAATAGATTATTTTTTTCTGTACGCTTAAAAATGGCTTGTCAAAAAATAGCAAGACATTTAGTCCTTTATCGATGATTTTATAGAAAATATTAACGCATTTAATATTTCTTTTTTTAATAAATCTACTTAAACATAACAAAAACTTGGGTTTTAGAAAAAAAGGAAAGAAAAATTCTTTTGTAGAACCTGATTCAGCACGGAGCTCATAGGTGCATCGAGGCGGCTCGAATTCCTCATCAAGTGACTCGGTCGATAAGGCTCTAGATGATGATATTAACTAGATTAATAGAATAAATGTTATGATTAGGTTGTCCGGAAATAAATGAGCGTTGATTTTGTTTTGTATTGTTTATTATTTGGGTACATTTTTCTCAATAAAGTTTGCTCTGTACGTTGTAATGTTATACATTTCTTTCTAATGTATACTATTAGAAAGCTGAGCTCGTGCTCTCTTTAACCATACTTCGGCGACGTTCCGCTCAGTGGTTGGATGCCGGAGAGGCTCCACAACACTTTCCAAAGCCAAATTTGCACCAAAAGAAGGTTATGGTGACTGTTTGGTGGTCCGCAGCCGGTCTCATCCATCACAGCTTTCTGAATCCGGGCGAAGAATACGGCGAAGAAGTACTGCCAACAAATCGACGAAATGCACCAGAAATTGGGTGAATGTGCCCGGCATGGGTCAACAGAAAAGGTCCAATTTTTTTCCAATTCTTCTCCACGACAACGCTCGTCCGCACGTCGCACAACCGACCCTGCAAAAGCTGAACGAACTGAGCTACAAATTTTGTCTCACTCGCCATATTCGCCGGACCTTTCGCCTACCGGCTACCACTTTTTCAAGCACCTCGACAACTTTCTTGCTTCAAAACTCAAGGGAGAAATGCTTCAAAACTCAAAAACGATGCCAAAAACGCCTTCGCCTACTTTATCGCCTCCTGAAGCCCGAACTTCTATGCTACCGGCATAAATAAACGTGTTTCTCATTGGCAAACATGTGTTAATTGTAATGGTTCTTATTTCGATTAATAAAGTTTTGTTTGGATCAAGTTATGGGATTTTAAATATTCGAGTTGAAAACGCTCATTTATTTCCGGACAACCTAATAAGTAAGTTATTACTTACTATTAGGTTTTATCTAAGTCTAAGCTTTAGTATCCGATTGATCTTTCTACTTACCCGATTGATCTTTCTACTTACCCGATTTCCACTTTCTGATGCAAATCCCGAACATCCTCCCGGAAGAAGCATTTCACTGCGAACGCCCGATCAGCACCGGTGACAAATACCTAAAATTGTTCTTGAAGTGTACTTTGTGCTGTAAATGCGTCCTTTTCTAGCGAATTCTCCATTTTTCTATCGTTGCTGCAAGAAAAATAAAGCATTCAGTGCGCCAGAAAGAGTATGTTTACAGAGTTGGGCACAAAGTACATGACTTTATCGATCAGCTATTAAACTATGGCAATTGCTTGTGATAATTTGACTCTTATGGTTTGAAAAATTTTAAAAACAAACTGGATGAGCAGATACAACAAGCGAAAACGAGTAAGTAACTCCTCGTGGGTGAAGTGAGCGAACGCGTCGCATCCCGCATGCACCGAATGGAAGAGTGAACTTTGTGCTGGATTCGGTCTAGAAATGACTTGATAACTTGATAACTAACTATATTAAATAACTAACTAAATATCATTTTTATTAAAAGCCTAAACAAGACAAGACAAGGGCAATCAATGAGACTTTTCATTATATGGCTTTAGCCTTGTCTTACCTTATATTGCCTTCTTTGTCTTGTCTTTGCCTTGTCTTTGCCTTGTCCAAGTCTGGCCAATTTTTTGGCAAAGAACAGTTTAGCCATGAACTGACAACTACAGTCAAAAATATTCTAACTATAAGATTTCAATGAAATCCGACGAAATTTCAATGAAATTCGATGAAATTTCATTGAAATTCAATGAAATTTGTCTTCGAGACAAACCTCGGCGCCCTGCTGACACCGTTCACTATGACTGTGCCCAAGGACAAACAATCTTCCACGGAAAAGGGGGAACAATTGGAGATGGATGGTTACTGAATCAACTCCACACTCTACCTGAATATTTATAAGTTGAAAATTTTGAAATAAGCTGAAACCTCTGGCCTTGAAAGTACTGCACTTTCCATGCTTGTGTAGGCCACATTTTGTAGGGAAAATATAACGAGGAAGCTCTGAAAGTTTGTTAAGTTTTACTTCAGAAGTTAGAGAGTCTGTAGTCAGGTCAAAATCTACTATAGATAAAAGAACAGTGTCTCTCTGTCTGTCTGTCTACAGTAATCCGTCTCGTCTGTCTGTCTGTCTGCCTACAGTAATCCGTCTCGTCTGTCTGTCTGTCTGCCTACAGTAATCCGTCTCGTCTATCTGTCTGTCTACAGTAATCCGTCTCGTCTGTCTGTCTACAGTAATCCGTCTCGTCTGTCTGTCTGTCTACAGTAATCCGTCTCGTCTGTCTGTCTGTCTACAGTAATCCGTCTCCTCTCTCTCTCTGTCTGTCTGTCTACAGCAGTCTGTCTCGTCTCTCTATTTACAGTAATCCGTCTTGTCTGTCTCGACTGTTTACAGTAATCCGGTTTTTAAAAACTATTGTAACTGGACTGTATTTTTAAAAGCCGATAGCTTCTACCAGATTACGATAGCTTCTGTCTGTCTGTCTGTCTGTACCTGGCTACTGTACTTGTCTGGCTGGCCATATCCGGCTAAGAACGCGTTCAAAGCTAGACTACGCAACACTCCGCACCATCATTATGGGGTTGGGGTACTATTAAAGTATTTACGGTGGTAATTTTAAGCAAGCTCACCAAAATGGGCGACTGGCCCGAGTCCAAGAAAGGCATCAGTTTCAAGAAAAAAGAATCACAATCTTCTAAAATATCAAAGCGAATGTAGTAGGGCGAAAGGTGGGAAAGTTAGAGAGGGAAATGAATGGGTGAATGGCAAGTGAATGAGAAGAGACAACTGGTTGTGAGCTAATGATCTTGTATTTATACCTCTTCTCCTCGACTTTCCCACCCCGCAGGTATCTCGGCCGACAATTCACTATTGTGTCGATCTCATTCCAACAGTCAATCATGATAGAAGAAGAAAAATGATAGTGCCACGCTTTTCCGGCTCACGGAAAAGAAGTGAAGGTGCATAGCGGTACGGATTTTTTCGGAAATACTAGATGAGCCGACTTTCACTCATTTACCATGAGACTACTGGTGCTTAGACTGGTTTTGAAAGCTATTGAGTCATTTAGGCTACAGTAATCCTTTGTACTTACAGTAATACCTCTGATCTACAGTAATTCCTTGCATCTACAGGAAGATCTCAGCCAGTTTCGCTGTGTTCTCTAGATCGAGCTTTTTGTGAAAGCTTCGATCGAGAAACAAATTATCAACAGTATTATCACTCGCTAACTACTATAAAACTTGCCGACTTGTATGCTGTCAAAGTACCGTAATACCAGTTTTCTTTTTGGGTAGGTAGAGGTAGATCTTGAATTCACTTGTTTTACAATTTCTTGACGTTTATTGTAACGGAAACAATATTGTTAAAACAAACCAAATATTTTAAACACCATTGACAACAAGGTTCGAATACGATTATTTTGTTGCCGATGAGCAAAATTTCAAGGGCAATTTCTAGATTTACCAAAGTTCGCAGCATGACAAAGTAACAATTAGTTTGACAAAAACAATAGGTCTTTAAATATAATAAATATGCTTGCAATGCAATAATACAGCTTTTCACGGTAAAACTCAATAAAAACTTAGCGTTTTGGAGGAACAATGTCGATGATTTTCTTTGGACGCGGTGCCGCAGGTGCATTTTGACGAGGCTGGGCATTTGGATCGAAGTAGACCACCGCCGTTGGTTGCCGAGGAATAAAATTCTGAATTGAATGTATAAAAATGAGATATTATATTTAAAGAACCGATAAAATTTCGTTAAAAATTTAAAAACTAGAGTTTCGTTAAATTTAAATTCAAATTTTAACCCCAATAAGAACTCAAACTTAGCATTTAAGAAAGAAAAGCATAAACCTGGTTATCGGGAGCATCCGCACGTTGTTGATTCGAGTAACGTTTCGGCGCACCTCGTGTGGGCATTGGTGGGGGTCGAGTGCGATCGAAGATGGGCAATTGCTGTGAGTGCGATGAGCTTTGTTGCGGAGCGCCGCCGCGTGAGAGTGGAGGAAAATCTTTAAAAACTATTATAATAGACCAAGTAAATAAAACCAACCTCGGTCATTATTTCTAAAAGATTGCTGATCATCTCGACGATTTTGAGCCGGCGCATCATTTCTACGGGCACCACCGCCACCACGCGAATAGCTTTGGTTGTGGAAAGCCCTAAACTTGAATAAGAAAGATAGCTATGATAAAACTAACCTGCCACCATAGCCTTGTCTATTCTCCCCTCGTTCGTATTGTCCCGTTTCTCTAGCACTATAGCCGTTTCCACGGGAAGGGTAACGAGCGCCACCACCGCTACAAAGAAGACTAATTAAATTTTAAAAATAATAACTAACCTCCCACGAGTTGGAACGCCGCGTTGACGATAGGGCACTTGTGGGGCTGATCGTTGAGAATCATACGATCGATCATGTGCTGATCCTGTCCGCTGTTCTCTGCCTCCTCTAAAATAATTCGTTTAGTTGGGTAAAATAAGACGAATCTAATAACCCACAGCAATTTACTATAGCAGTAAAAATGTTTTTAACAACGCTTTACAATCTTTTACGCGTAAACTAGCGTCGACTAGAGCCATAATACAAAAACGTTTCACTGACCTTCTGAATTGTGATGGTCGTTCCCTATATTCTGCACGTTCAGGTTGTTCTTCGTATTCTTCTTCAAATTGACGCTGCCTGAATCCTCCGCGTTGTCCAGTGCGCCCTCTGCCGCTTGAAATTGGTCGTTCTTCGCGATGCCCTCTGCCGCTTGAAATTGGTCGTTCTTCGCGATGCCCTCTGCCGCTTGAAATTGGTCGTTCTTCGCGATACCCTCCCCGGTTTCTTGTTGGCGGTGCACGGCGTCTGTCACCCTAGAATCTTTTTACTACACACGAGTAGAGCTCCACACTCCACTTTACTAGAATCTTACACTCATCTTTTTACAAACCACTCAAATACCAGACATACCCTTTGTTCCTGTGCCTGATGATAGCGTGGGCCTCTTGCCTCGTTCACCTCTTCTTGTTCTTCGTCCTCATATTCCTCGTCGTCTTGGCGTGTGGGTTGTGACCTGGGCGGTCTAGAGGCGACACCACGACCACGGCCACGACCTCGCCCTCGCCCGCGTGTAGGTACCTAAGAATTGAAAATTTCGAAAATGCCAGAAAAAGTCTTACTCTGGGTGGCGCGTTTTCCTGTCGAGGTTGCTCTTCTTTCTGGGGTTGCTCTTCTTGATCACTGCTTGCTTTGAGATTCTTTGCAGCCGGCTTCCTGAGTACTTTGGAGTCGGCTTCGGGCTCTTGCTCGACAATTTCTTCTCCATTTTCATCGATGCTAAAATTACACAGGATTAATCACAAAAAATAATGGATAAATCATTACGAAAAAAATACTAACCGAATATCGAATCCATATTTCTTCATCAGCTGCTTACGAGTTTTTGGACGCTGCCATCTATAAATAATGTAAAGGTTTTGCAAATTAAAAATTTAAGCTTTATAAAATGCTTACTTTTCATCAAAACGATCGTGTGCCCAAGATCCATCGGCCCGACTTTTTCGCGCATCGTCTTCATCGCCCTCTTCCTCAGCTTCACTGCTCGAAACTCGGGAATCGTGCAGGTAATACCTAAAAAAAATTTCGCCTTTAAAAACTTTTCAACTCACCTTTTGTCCCTCGGGATATATGCTGGATTGTCTTCTCGTTGATCATCATCTAGTCCATCTCCTTTCTCTTCTTTATTTTCCTAAAATCACAAAAATTCTCTCTTAAAGTGCCAAAAACCTTACTTCATCTCCCTCATTTTCCGCTCCTTCGTTTTCTTCTTTTCCTTCTTCAGTGGGTTCAGTAGTTGGATCGTCTGGCCTCTCGCGATTGTCCTAAAATAAGAAGTTTAATGAAAAAAGCTAGTAATCGTTTACATTTTCATCAGATGTGGGAACGGGGGGCTCGACGACGGCGGGGGCTGCGTCACTCATCGCAGAGAGCGCTAAAATATAAACTTGAAGATGAGTCAAAGATTTGTAAACAAAGCGAAAACAAACAATGATGAGACAACGCAAAGAATGAAACAGTGATTATATACTCAAGCTGCTTATGTACCAAAACTGCTTACAAAAAGTATTCAGCTAAAAGGTTGAATATCTTTTTTGCAATGACGGAAAATCATGGGGCATTCGCGGAAAAAATAATTTTCATTTTCATTTTTCAAACCAAAGCTGGTGAAGTTCTTCCGCGTTTGTTGTTTTAAACGTTGATTGTCAAAAGAAAGTAATGTAGTCCATTTCGTGAATACAACCACTTGCCAAAACCTATTGTGATACAAACTACGCAGTCGCTCGTTGCGAGACCCCCATTCCTCTCAAACTTTTATCGTACCCAAAATATTAGAGTGAGATTTTTTGGATTTCTTTTAAATTTTTGCAAGTTTTTCCCTTTCGACTCTGATATTTTGTTGTTTAACTTAGTTTTTTTAGACATGCCCGTCTACAAACGATTGGTAGAAGTTGGACGAGTCGCTTTCATCGCGAAAGGAAAGGACCAAGGCAAGCTTGCCACAATCGTCAATGTCATCGATGGAAATCACGTTAGTTTTCTACTTGCAGAGATAAAAGAAAACTGGGGTTAATATTATTGTACCATGTAAATAACAATAGCCACAAAACCACGTTTTCGATAAAGTATTGCACTTGACTGATGATTGATTGGGTTTAATTCATCGACTTAATCGAATGTTTGTAAAAATCTACTCAGAAAATGACAGAGTATCGCTATTTAGTTGCCAAAGGTTAACTTTCTGTTTTACTTTCTGAAAGTGATTACGCATGCCCATTGGGGATAGTTATTCTAAAAATATATAATTGTAGTATGAACTGGCTCTATATAATACGCATTTTTAGTTTTTCTCTTGCATTATTTTTTCCATTTAGGTGCTTGTTGATGGCCCCTCATCTGGAGTTTCTCGCGGATCCCGAAACTTGAAAGACCTCCAGTTGACGAAATTCAAGACCAATGTGCGCGTCGGACAACGAACCAAGGGCGTCAAGAAGGCTTTCGATGAGGGGAAGGTTGCCGATAAGTTCTCACAAACTAAATGGGCCAAGAATATCGTCAACAAGCAAAAGGTAACTTTCAGATGACCGACTATCTAATACTGAATTGTTTTGTTTAGCGCGCCAACCTAACCGATTTCGAGCGATTCAAGTTGATGAGAGCCAAGCAACTGCGCAATCGTCTTGTCAGGGTTGAGCTTGCTAAATTGAGGAAAGCCGCCAAGCACTAAATTTTTGTTACGATAAATTGTTGTATTTTGAATTCTTTTTATAATGTTTGATTCCGCTGGTCGGTTTGAATATTTGGCATTTTTCACTCGTTTTTTTTTGTGTATTAAACCAATTCTGATTTTATTAAGGGTTTACTTCAATCACCGAGGACTCAAGGACTTCAATAATAATGGCCGAAGGAGACGAGGTGCAAATCCCTACAGCTGCCCCTGCTGCCATCATGGACGTGCAATCAGCGCTCAAAGCGGCTCTACGATCGGCTAACTATGCCGATGGTCTCGCCAGAGGACTTCACGAGTGTGCTAAGGCACTTGACAAGTGTGTTTTATGAAAAGTTGCTAGATTCATTACACTTCCTTATCACATTACACTGCTTGCGCGGTTTGTAAAGGTGTCCATCGCCGTAAAATCGTCCATGCTCGTTTCAATTCAAGTTAGACCAATTGGCTCAGCCTGGCTTTAGTTTTATCTTTGTACGAATCTATTAACTGTGATTAAATATTATCTATTTAGGCGTGAGGCCTACTTTGCCGTTCTTGCCGAGAACTGCGACGAGCCGATGTATGTCAAACTCGTTGAAGCATTGTGCAAAGAACATCAAATTCCGCTCATGAAGGTTGGTTGGTTCAAAGTAGTTTCTGGAATGTAAATGCTTAGCATAGCGTGATTTGACATTGATTTTTATCTGAACAAATTTTTTGGTTCAGGTTGCCGACAAGAAGATTCTTGGTGAATGGGTTGGACAGTGCAAATACGACAAAGAGGGGAAAGCTCGCAAGGTCGTCGGTTGCTCAGCTGCTGTGGTTCGAGACTATGGAACAGACGAACAAGCTAAAGTTGTTCTTCAGCACTATTTTGATTCGAAGAAGGTTTAAGTGGAGCAGTGGCATTTGTTGCTTTTTTTGTTAAATAAATTGTTTGTTTCTTGTTCGTTCGATTTCTCAAATGCGCTTGATCAGCAAACTTATCGGATGTGGATTCTTGCTTTGAAACGAACATTTATAGCCCCCAACTTTGTTAGTTCCGTAAATTTTTTTCAGAAATGCGTGAAGTGATCTCGATCCACGTCGGACAAGCCGGAGTACAAATCGGTAACGCCTGTTGGGAGCTATACTGTCTCGAGCATGGAATTCAGGTTGATTGATTGGGTATCAGATATATTGGTTTCACAAAGATGAGGCTATTAGCTCAAGTTGCCTAAAGCCTTAACGTCGTTATATTGATTATACATATATTATTTTAGCCTGATGGAAAGATGCCACCGGATCAGAAGTCTGACGACTCGTTCACCACATTCTTCAGCGAGACGGGCTCCGGACATTACGTTCCTCGAGCAATCATGGTCGACTTGGAGCCAACTGTTGTCGACGAGATTCGCACTGGAACCTACAAGCACCTCTTCCACCCCGAGCAAATGATCACTGGCAAGGAGGACGCTGCCAACAATTATGCCCGAGGACACTACACCATTGGAAAGGAGATCATCGACCTGGTTATGGATCGCGTTCGTCGACTTGCCGACAACTGCACCGGACTGCAAGGATTCCTTATCTTCCACTCATTCGGAGGAGGTTTGTGATTTGATTTTGATGGAGTATTTCTTCTTTAAAATCTAGAGTTATTGTTTATTTAGGTACTGGCTCGGGTTTCACTTCATTGTTGATGGAGCGCCTGTCCGTCGACTACGGCAAGAAGAGCAAATTGGAGTTCTCCATCTACCCGGCTCCCCAAGTGTCCACCGCTGTCGTCGAGCCCTACAATTCGATCCTCACCACCCACACCACATTGGAACACTCGGACTGCGCCTTTATGGTCGACAACGAAGCCATCTACGACATCTGCCGACGCAACTTGGATGTTGAACGCCCTAGCTACACCAACTTGAATCGCATTATCTCACAGGTTTGTACTTTGTTTTCAGGAATCTGTTCACATTTTGTTTATGCGACTATGTATCTATGTTTAGGTGGTCTCGTCTATCACTGCCTCTCTCCGTTTTGATGGTGCTCTCAACGTCGACCTTACCGAATTCCAGACCAACTTGGTGCCATACCCTCGGATCCATTTCCCATTGGCAACCTATTCACCACTCATCTCGGCTGAGAAGGTAAGTTAAAAGAAATGTCGAAGCTCTTTAACTTTTATTACAGGCTTATCATGAATCTCTCTCCGTGCAAGACATTACAAATATGTGCTTCGAACCGGCCAATCAAATGGTGAAATGCGATCCTCGTCACGGAAAATACATGGCCACCTGTTTGCTCTACAGAGGAGATGTTGTGCCAAAGGACGTTAACGCCGCAATCGCTTCGATCAAGACCAAGAGGTCGATTCAATTTGTCGACTGGTGCCCAACTGGATTCAAGGTAGCCTACTTCTTGTAAATCTTTAATTTCTAAGTTCAGGTCGGCATCAACTACCAACCACCAACCGTCGTTCCTGGAGGTGACATCGCGAAGGTGCCACGAGCTGTGTGCATGCTCTCCAATACGACTGCCATCGCTGAAGCTTGGGCCCGCTTGGACCACAAATTCGACTTGATGTACGCTAAACGTGCATTCGTTCATTGGTGAGTTTGTTTTGGTAATTTAAAAAAAATCCAACTTTCATAATTCATTTCATTTTTAGGTATGTCGGCGAGGGTATGGAGGAAGGCGAGTTCAGTGAGGCTCGTGAAGATCTGGCTGCCCTCGAGAAGGACTACGAAGAGGTGGCTGTCGACTCAAATGAAGGCGGTGAAGGACAAGACGAGTACTAAACCGATGGCATCGACCCGGAGATCTCATAACTAAATTATTTTTGTCTGTCCTCGTAAATATTTATTTATGTTTAAATTGTCAAGCCACCGCTGTATTTTATGAAAATTTTCTAAATAAATATTGTTCCAAAACTCAAGGCGAAGCCTTTCGATGTATAAAACAACTGTTAACACCTATCAGTGTCCACTGAAGCTTAGTTGCATTTTTGGGGCGTGTAGTTTTTGGTACTTCAAAATAGCCTAATTTTTCCGACAGACCCCTTGGAGAAAAAATCTCATTCTGTCGGATTCGCCAACTTCCGTCCCGTGTTTCCAAGATTTTTCTAGATTTTTGGAATCCTTTTAAGTGTTAGATATATGAGAATCTTAATGGACATCATAACCCATAGGGAATTTCGCTGTAAACACCCATTTTTAAGCTCTTGAAAATTTTGAAAAGTGTCTCATTACGGTAGCGGATCCAAAAAATCGAAAATCTTCAAGGGGTCAAGGTTCTAGTAGAATTCTAATAGAACAATGCACATCGGCGCGAAAATGCGTTTTCTATCGAATTTTTCTGGGAGTACCTTTTTTAGATGCGGAAAATTGTGCTAATTCCGAATCTGAAGGAATTTTTCAAATCCCCTTGACAGAAATTTTTTAGATTGAGTTTTAGCGGTTTTTTGGTCATTTTGTATGGGAAATTTTGTGGTACCCTGCAGTTTGGGGCTCGTAACTCGACAATCAGGGTCTAGAACAAAAAACAAGGGGATAATTTTTATTCTAGAGACTCTCACGAACATTTTGATACAAAAATCATCAAATTTGCTCAACTCTACAAAAGGTTATAACATTTTTTAAAAAAGAAATGAGAAAATCTAAAAATTCTCTATTGCACAATTGTTTTGTTCAAAAGAACAATGTAGCTATGTATCGTATTCACTCAAAACAATTAAGGAATATGCAAAATAATAGCTCAAGTGTGCGGGAGAGTCGAACCAACAACCCCATACTTTTGCGCGGGATTCACGTCGCGCGCCTTAGACCACTCGGCCACGGTTTCCCCATATGTTTTTAGTGTATTTTGCAAAATTTCTTTAAAGATGTTATAACTTTTTGTAGAGTTGAGCAAATTTGATGATTTTTGGATCAAAATGTTCGTGAGAGTCTCTAGAATAAAAATTATCCCCTTGTTTTTTGTTCCAGACCCTGATTGTCGAGTTACGAGCCCCAAACTGCAGGGTACCACAAAATTTCCCATACAAAATGACCAAAAAACCGCTAAAACTCAATTTAAAAAATTTGAAATTGAAGGGGATTTGAAAAATTCCTTCAGATTCGGAATCAGCACAATTTTCCGCATCTAAAAAAGGTACTCCCAGAAAAATTCGATAGAAAACGCATTTTTGCCTTATTTCGCGCCGATGTGCAATGGGTCAAAATTCTAATATTAGAATATTTACGGTAATCTTTTAATTGGATTTCACCAAAAGTATGCTTGACTCGCTTAGACAACGACTTGACTTGGGTTCTTAACTGTTTGACCCGATTTCATTTCCTAATTTTCAGAAAATGTCCCGTGAAGAGCTCGTGCAGAAGGCCAAGTTGGCTGAGCAAGCCGAGAAATACGACGAAATGGCTGACGTGATGCAAAAGGTGGCCGAGCAAGGAGACGAGCTGGCAAACAATGAAAGGCATCTTCTGGCTTCTCGCTTACAAGAATGTGGTTGGGGCTCGTCGGTCATCATGGAGAGTCATCTCGTGGATCGAGCAAAACGCCATTCTGAGATCATTCAACAATCATTCTGAGAAACGCTCTCAGCTTGCCGCGAAACGGTAGAAAAGGAGCTCAGCGACATCTGCAACACCGTCCTCACCCATCTCGACAAACATCTCATTGCCAAAGCCTCGCCAAGCTCTAGGGAGTAGATGGGGCTGAGTCCGAACTACCTTTGGAGAGTGCAGCACCCATCCCCTCCTCGAACCTGCCTAAGTGAACCCCCCGCCTGAGATGCTATATTATATTATGGCATGTTAATAATAAAAAATCTATTAAAATTTTGACGAGTTCGAACTCAGCACCCTCGAAAATCCCCAAAAGTGTTTAACTAAAAAGTTCCCTCCCAAGCATGCTAGTATCCAATCGTGTTTCCATATCGCTCCGCTTATCCTATTTACGCATTTTCTTTGCGCTACTTCAGCATCTCCAACGTTTCAAGCGAAGAATTTGGATCTCGATGATCCATTGCTGAATGCAAATGCAAAACATCGACGTGTTTGAGCGCTATAATTTGTAAGTTCGCACCGGCTGGGCTTTCTTATGCTCATTTTAGGTACATTTTGCCCGAGAAGTTCTTCATTGAGCCGCGCGACAGAGATGGAGGACTAGCGTCGACGAGATACATAGAAATCGACAGAATTTCCACAAATATTCGTGTCAGAGGTTTTTAATGGCAATTTTTGCTTAATTATTGCTGTTTAGATCAAAATGAGGAGCGTATACGCGTTGCTGACGCTGAAATCAAACTCATTTATGGCGTTGTTGGAACAATACAACTTGTTGCTGGTATTTTCTAAACATAAAACCGAAATAGTTTTTGTTTAGGACCATCGCTTATTGTTATTAATCGAGCTAAGCAAGTCGGGAGTATAATGGGACACGATGTTTGGCAAATGGAAGGTGCTGAGGTTATTCCTTATCGACGGACAACAGCCCACTTAACAGATAAACAGGTTAATTTATTCATTTTCATTTTCAACTACCATAATTTAGGCTCTGCATGAACGTCATTTTCAAGACTTGCTGACTCTGGTCCTTTTACAGCCGGGTTTCTATTTTTGTTATTCTTTCGATTTAACACGCTCTCTACAATGGTTGAGTGAAAACGCAAATCCTGAATTTCGCAAACTTTCACTAATCGAACGCGTATGTTTGTTTTATTTTTATTGTAACAGTTCTTAATCTTTAGGCTGATCCACGTTTTGTTTGGAATGGTTACCTTCTTAGTCAACTTCGATCAATTCGTGATGTTTGTTTTTGAAAAGTTTAGTAAGTTATTAATATTTAGGCTGTTCAATTTTGTCTTCCACTTATGCACGGGTTTTATGGGTCACGACGCGTGAGAATTGGTGGTCACATTTGCTGGCTTACGCTGATCTCACGTCGAAGTATTCAATCGTAAGTTTTAAATTTGTACACAGTCTTGGTACTTTGGTAGTTGGGAGGGGCCACTTTTATCCTGGCTTAGTTAGATTTAATGTTTTGAGTGGTTGTATTGATACCTTTTATCTACTCTAAGGTAATCAAATATGCCTAATAGATTGGTGACTATTTTAGCAAGTTTTTAGCAATTCTAGTCTAATCTCGTGTACTTTAACCACCAAACGCTACCTCAAAGCTGCTTACGCTTGAAAATCAAATGAAAGCGGCAATATGAAACCTGAAACATGTTGTAAATGCTCTAAAAGTATAAGCATATTTGATTACCCTAGAATAGGTAGATAAAAGGTATCAATACAATCACTCAAAACATTAGATACAACAAAGCCAGGATAAAAGTGGCCCCTTTAAACCACCAAAGTACCACAGTCTTTATTAACGTTATGATGGGTAAATTAAACGCCAGCTCTGAATTAAATTGTATTTAATTTAGAGCTGGCGTCCGTTTCCACAAAAGAGGCGTTAACGCTGAAGGTCAACCCGCAAATTTCGTTGAAACCGAGCAAATCGTTCATCCGGATGGTGATACAAATGCTCTTGCGAGTTTTGTCCAGGTAATTGTTAAACATGTAAACGTTTAACAGACGAATTTTAGCTTCGTGGATCGATTCCCCTGTTCTGGTCACAAAAACCGAATCTACGTTGGCAGCCATGTCCAATGCTCAAGCCTGCCGATGACCAATTGCAAGTAATATCAATGAGTTGCTTGCAAATTTATCTTTAATTTTAGGCGTACGTTAAACACTTTGAATCGCAACGACAGTTATACGGAGGAAACCATGTAATGCTTTTTGTTTGTTTTCACAATTCATGCTTTTATAGGTGATTGTCAATCTTGTCAATCAGAAAGGTCGTGAAAACAAAGTCGGAGGTGAGTTGGAAAGGATTTCTCTACAAGCAAACTTACAATATGTCAGGTCGGTTTAGATGAAGTTATTTGTTTGCTAACTGTTCCACTTTCAGACATCATGGATTCGACTTTCACCGTGAATGTGGCGCAATGCAATGGGAACGATTATCAATTCTGAAAAATCAGCTCACCAAGGAGATTGCTAGTTTTGGGTACGTTTTCATTAGTTTATTGACTTTTAGTCTTCTTTTCAGTTTCTTTGCAACTTCCTCTTTGAATCCTTCGATCAATCAAACACAGCTTGGATATTTCCGATCGAATTGTATGGACTGCCTGGATCGAACAAACGTCGTATGTTATTGATCCATATTCATTTTTCAATCCAAACTTAGGTCCAATCTATGCTTGCACGAGCGGTTCTGCCATTACAACTTGGAGCATTGGGATTCGTTTCTCCTCAAAGCTTCGAAGTGGTCAGCAATGCCGACTTAGAGGAGGCTTTCAAAAACTGTAAGTTTTTTTTAAAAAAGTGGATGAATCTTGTGATTTTATAGTATGGGCAGACAACGGTGATCAATGCAGTAAACAGTACGCTGGAACTGGTGCCTTGAAGGTTTGATTTTAGTTTCGAACGTAGCTCATTTCTTTTTTAGTCAGATTATACTCGTCTGGGCAAACGTACCTATGTGGGAGCACTTAACGATGGAGTGAACGCGATCACACGATATTTTCGAAACAATTTTGCTGACGGAAATCGACAAGTAAAAAGAAAAATATTGATTTCAAATTTACAGTTGCTTTAGGATGCTATCGACTTGTTCCTTGGCAATTTCCGAGTTGATGTCACAAATTTGCCTACGAATTTCGACGCTACTTTATTGGCTCTCAATCAACAGGTGTGTTTCTTGTTGAACTTCTATTTGAAATTTTTGTTTTAAGGGTGTTGCGATTCTTGCTGCCGCTGTGGCGATGAGTATGACGGTTTTGTGCATTCTTGTAGCAGGTTTGGCGCTTTAAAAAGTTGTTACAATCGTAGAACTTTGTCTCTATTGGGAACAAGATCCCTAAAATTAACTAAACGATCCAACCTTTTCATTTAGAAAACTACTCGGCTACGTTCTTCTGGCTCTGCGTCTTTGGTCTATGTATGGCGTTCATCGTTCTGAATGGCGAGGATTTCGTGAATTCGCCCAAGCTGAAGAAAGACTAAAAAGATGATTGTATCCGAATTTTAAGTTTTTTTAAATGAGCTAATATTTAAATCGATATCATGTCATATCATCGATATAACACCTAAATCGATATCCATTCGCTATGAAATGATTTTTTTGTTATTCTAAACAATAGTCCCTTATTATTATAGTTATCTAGTTAACTATTTTTTTGTAAATTTTCACTTCTTTCGACTTGGTAGCTAATTTATACCATTCTTTTTTGTTACTCACAATGCATAGCTTTTCCAGGAAAAGCGGCTTGAATCCGCTTCCATCATTCTGTGATAATGCATCTAGTGTTTCTCCCCGCGTATTTTTGCGCTACATTTTTAAATCTCGTAAATATGTGTGATTTCTGGTGATTAACTGAATAGAGTCTAATTTATCACGTAACTAAACACGAACGAAAACCCATAATAATGTCACAAAAAGTACTATTGAGATTCGAGTGATGGGCGAACCCGCATTATGCTCGGCGAACTTGTCAAGAAGATCGAGAATCACGCCGTTTGTCCAGCCGAAGCCCGTCTGGAATTTGGAAATGACGAAATTGTGGGCTCTATTTGAATCGCCTCACCTGAACCTCGTATTCACCACCCGAACCCGCCCCGGATGCATCGGAAAACGCGGAAACGTTGTACTTCTCGAACATGGCGTGTGTGAGAATGAACGATTGATAGGATGCTGTTAACCATACTCGAGCCAAACGAGCCGCCTCCTAGAGTTAGCTTTTCCTTGGCTTTAAGGCTTTAAAGGTTATCCAACCTTCATCAAACGCGCATCACCCGTAAGTCGGAAACCCTCAATCACCATATGAACCATTGGTGGCCAGGCATTTTCCTGGAATTTTCTGAGAATCTTCTGAGTTTAGGCTTTTCTTTACCTTATCCCATTGCTGTTCGGATAGCATCATCATCGATGTTGGCAAGCCTTTTGTGAAATTGAAAGCACCGGTTCGCTGAATGGAGACAGTGACTTTTTGATAAACAATAATTGGTTGCAATTGGTTGCAATTGGTTGTAACCAGATTACTGTAGTCGGTAACTACAACTACAAAAGTCAGGCTGGCTATCTGGACTACAGTAGTTAACGCTAAACTGTAAGAGGTATTCAAAGCTGAATGTAAAGCAAACGACAACTTACATGTAGATATGAATGCACTCTATTCGGGATATCATCATCGTCGAAACACCGTGTCCACAACGGGATCGCGTTCGAGATGTAGTAGCTGGGGAAGTGGCCCTGGAAAGTCGAATCCTGACGGTAATACAAGCACTCTTGACTCTTGATTCTTGACGCTGGACTTTTGACTTTGACTTTTGACTTTTGACTTTCGAAGACTCGTAACTCTGCTTGATTAAAGCTGATGGGTTCCTGTTTAATTAAAGCTTAAAACAAAGCGTCATTACTCGCTCAAACTGCTCAAACTGCTCAAACTGCTCAAACTCAAACTCAAACTCACTCAAAGTCAAACTCAAACTGCTCATCAAGACTCAAATCTTTTGACTCCTTACCTACCTTCAAATCGAGATCATAATCGAACCAAATTCCTTCGGTCGCGTTCCAATGTAACACCTCGAGTGCTCGCTTCAGACTTCGATACCGTTGATTGTAAGCGGCAACTTTGGAAAAACCTCCTGAAGTTGAGAAATGGCGAAAGTTATAGACCGTACGATAGTACAATAGCTATAGATAGCTCGTACGATACTACAATAGCTCTAGACAAACGCACAAACCTGTAATCTCATAAACTGAGGCCAGGATTCTCGCGTTTGCGCACATGAAAGCATTCAGATCGGCTGGAATGATGCGGTGAGTGCGAATCGTTTTCAGCAAGTGTCGCGAGCTCTCGTTGTGAGAAAGCCACCTAAAAACAAACTTTTTAAAGCACTTACAAGCTTTTAAAGCACTTAGCCCTTCCGTTAGAGTATTTCAAAAGGTTGGCGCTAATTTTAAAGCCTGAGCTCACCTCGTCGAGAAATCCCATCCCGTTTCGGCGGCGGCTGCAATGTCGGACCAAATTTCTTCGCGTTTCGCTGGAATTTTTGTTTATTTTGCGTCTTATCAAAAGATCTACTAAAATAAACGGCAATTCATATTGTGTACAATCTGGGCAGTGTACTTTTGTTACTTGAAATCACCGCTTTTCTGAACACCGACTCAAGCACCCGCTCTAGCTAGTGCCCTACCTAACTAGCCCGTAATAATGTTACCATAGTAGCTATGTATTCGTTACAGTTGAGGCTACGGTAGTCGTGAAACGTTTTTTTGGGGATGATATCAAAAGAGCGCCGTTCAAAAGAGCGCCGTTCAAAGCAGCGCCGTTCAAAGCAGCGCCGTTCAAAGCAGCGCCGTTCAAAGCAGCGCCGTTCAAAGCAGCGCCGTTCAAAGCAGCGCCGTTCAAAACAGCGCAGTTCAAAAGAGCGCTGTTCAAAACAGCGCAGTTCAAAAGAGCGCTGTTCAAAACAGCGCAGTTCAAAAGAGCGCTGTTCAAAAGAGCGCCTTTTGAACTCTTTTGCTCTTGCGCTTGCGCTTTTTATACGCCTCACCCCTTTTTAAAACCTTTTTATACGCCCCGCCCCTTTTTAAAACCTTTTTATACTTCCTGCCCCTTTTTACGCGCCCCAGCCCCTTTGCCATTGGCAATCTAACTTTGAGCTCAAATATCTTGGTGTTGAGCTGTCCAATTTCAATATTCTTGATATCATTAGATGCACCAAATCTTTCTCTATCGATTGGTACAAAAACTATTTTAATTGAACAGTCGAACACCAAGAAATTTGAGTTCAAAGTTAGATTGCCAATAGCAAAGGGGGCGGGGCACTTATCAAATGTCCGATAGCCTTACGGATGAGCACAAAGTACAATATTCATTTGTTGTACCATTTGTTGTACAATATTCATTTGTATACCAACCCGGGTCCTCAACTCCCTCCACTAAATGCATATCTTCTCGATAGCTCTCCGGTCGTGGCACCAATTGTTTCACTCGATACTGGAATACTTCCAAAGTCTCTTCTTCTTTCTTCTCATTTTTCTCGTTTTCATCTCCGACCGAATGCGTGTCTACTCCAAATTTTAATGTCTAAATTTGTTTTAAAGCGAAATTGATTCAGCGTGATAAACCAGTGTTCTGTGTTTTATCCAAAAGTTGAACTCTTTCTCGAGGACATCTAGCATTTCCTGAAAATTTTAAGGATTATTGGAAAGCATTTACAGTATGCTTGAACGTCTACAGTATATTATAAATAAAGAAAAAAAACGTATTCAGCTGTTAGAAATGGATATTATAGCTTTAAGTACTGGACTAGTGCTCTTGCACTATAGTACATATTAGATATGGGAAAATTCCAAGAAAAACCCAATTCCACCTTCGTTTTCCCGGTCGTTTCTTGACCGATTGCTTCGAAAATTTGTTCACAAATAGAAATCAACACTTTCCGCTTGTAGACACAATTTCAGAGAAATCGGCCAAGAAACGGTCGAGAAAACGAAGGTGGAATTAGGCTTGGGTTGGAATTTTCCCATGTCTACTACATACAATCAAAAACTGAATATCCCCGGTGGCCAGGAAATAATCGTAGACCATATGAGCAAGAAGAGGTGGCTGTGAACGAGTCAAGTAGTAGACACGGCCACCATTCGGGACGAAACCATGTCTAAAAAGGTTTATGACTTGTACAGTACAATACAATTGGAAGATAAGATCTCGATGAAGACGTATCAAACAGTAGATGCTTTAAAATCTGCTCTGAAACGAGTCTGGGATGAAATAACTGTTTAGGCGTGCGCCACCGTCGTGAGGAACTTCCCAAAGCGTTTAAAGAGGTGTATCGAAGCGGATGGTGGAAATTTCGAGCATTTGTTATAAGTTATTTGTTGTTATGATTCGAATAAAGAGTTTGTTATTAATTTTTAACTTTTTAAAGCTAGTTTTTAAACCTTTAACTATCTTAAGAAGCGGCTCCAAACTTTTGCCGCACCGAACCATATTGGAACCATATTGGAACTGTATCCGAACCATATTGGAACCACATTGGAACCATAGTACAGGGTATTCAATATTTATGGGGACTTTTAAGCTCACATGTTGTGTTTAGCGTTCTCAAAATTGGTTTATGCAAAAAAAAAGTCAAGAAAGCACTGCATAGGAGTTAGAAATTTTGGAAATTCTAGATTATTTTTAAAGTTTACTAAATTTGAAATTTGAAAAATCGATTTATTTGGATTTATTGGAACTTGATTATCAAATTTTATCAAAAGAAGTCAGAAATCTATGCTAAGAAGTCAGACGCCAGTTATTTTTGCTTAACGATGAGAAATTCTTCACTATTTTATCAGTTTTCGAATCTACGGGCCATTAAAAATGTTAGAATCACATTTCAGTTTTGATTTTTTTCAAAAAAGCTTAACTTTGTGGCAAAATTGTTTGTTTGTGGCAAAATTAGTTCGGCAAACGAATAGTTCAATCAATTTATTCGACAGTTGGCACTTTTACAAGTGTTTCTAGACAAGCAACAGCGCAAAAGGCAATCAAAAGGCAATTTTGAATGGAAAGTAACTTAAATTTGTGAACGTTGAGCGTATTGAAAAGTTTTGTTTCCTTTTTAGCATTAAAATTGTACAAAATGTGCTCTAAACCTCGTAATCTACTGGTCTACACAAATATTGAATACCCTGTACTGTGTAAAGCCTTTAAAATCCTTTGCTACTTACTGTTTGACCATGTGCGCAAGATTTCTGATGACTCCTTGCGCTGTCACCGGCATTTCAGACACCAACAATCCACGAACGATCCAGAAAGTGTCCCTAAAAACCCCAAAAACTGAAAGGAAAGAAGAAATAAATAAGTAAATGCAAATCAATTAGAGAATTAGAGAATTTTCATTTCATCAATTACCCAATTAAAATGAACACCGTTTAAAATGAACATCGATTATAATGAATCGAATTCCGCATAGGCGAAAACCCCCGAGGTCCAAGCAAATTCGCGAATCTATGCTACTAATTTGCTATACCGTATTCTCTATAATAGTAGTGCACCCCGGCGAGCCGAGTTGATGACTATTTTACAGTTTCCAAGCTTTTGCAGAAGCTCATCACCCTAATCCCCCACTAGATCTCATCGTCAGCTACATTTTCCGACCCCACATCGATAGGTTCTGATAAGCCGTTCTCGAGATTTCGAGCAATTTAGGTGACGCTCAGGGTGCACTACTATTAAAGAAAATACGGTAATTAGAGTCTCTAAAGAGATTAAACAAGTCTCTAAAGAAGAGTAAACAAGTCATCAAAAGAACAAGTCATCAAAAGAACAAGTCATCAAAAGAACAAGTCATCTAAGGAACAAGTCATCTAAAGAACAAGTCATCTGTCTTTTTTAAAGATTTTCCAACTTTCTTATCATTTTTAACTTACAAGGTGTGCGAAAAGGCAAACGTTTATGGATTTCATGAAAAAAAAACACTCAGCCTTTCCACTCGTCATTTGCTCACCAATAGTAGAACTCTCGAAAGCGTCCACCGGGAATGATGAACGGATACGGAACATAGAGGAGAGAGTTCAATTCGGGTTGAAGTCGGACTTCATCGCGTACCTGAAAGTGGATAGTTTAGTCTTTTCGTTTTTGTTCTACAATATACAAGCCTCTACAAAGTTCTACAAGCCACTACAAATATATTTATTGCCAAAAGAAACCCTTCTGCACAAATCGCGCCACGTTCTGTGCAAGTGTAGAGCCCAACGCCGTTGCTCATGGTTTTTGATTCGTAAAAAGGAGAGCGGAAAATCCGACCAATCATCGGGACGGCAAGCGATTAACTAAAAAAAATTAACGTACTTTATGGTCAAAATTTGTAAACACACCCTTTCTAATGCACTGAATGCCACGTTTTTTTGCAGTAACGTTATGATTTCGGAAGCAAAAATGATTGCGCCAGATTGCGCTAGAAAGGTGGCATTTTGAAATCCGCTTAGATCTTGTATATCGCCAGATCTTATGAGTTAAAGATCTATAGTTAAAGTCTAGATCCTATATTTAAATGAAACTGTAACTCACCTCTTGACCGGGCGGTCGAAAATGTGCATTCACAAAACCAGCCAAAATCACCGGATCGGCGGCGGCTTTCGGCCCGAGTTGCGCGAATTCTTTGAGGGTTTTCACTAAAATTTTCTATTATACAGGATTTATCTTCGAAAATATCGTTCCCTTAAATATTTAATCAAATTTAATCAAATTCATACCCGGATCCTCTTTCAATGGCATATCAACGAAAGTCTTCGAATCGCTAAAGAGTCGGCTCTCTTGAACGGCTCGGAGGAGAGGGCCAGTGCAATAGATTTGACTGCAATTTCTATTTTCACTAACTTGATCGATTACTATAATCGTTTACAAGTTTACTATAATCGATTTCAAAATCGAAATCTAAGACTTTCAAAATCTAGAGAGTGGGACAAATGCTATCTTTTTTGCGCACCCGGACATTTGCGCACCTTTTTTTCCGCACTTAGCCCATTAGCGCACCTTTTTTCGCGTTTTAAAAAAGCTCTAAAAGCTAATATTAACCAATTTCTATTCCAAAAGTTGTTTTTCTAGGTAATTTTAGGGCGTAGATTCGAAATTTTGGCATAACAAAGCGTGTGGAACCAATTTGAAAGACAAAACGGCTAGCTCGGCTAGGTTGATTTTTCTCTTTGGATAACTCCGTCCGTTCGCTTCCACACGCTCTGGTATGCCAAAATTTCGAAATCTACGCCCTAAAATTACCTAGAAAAACAACTTTTGGAATAGAAATTGGTTAATATTAGCTTTTAGAGCTTTTTAAAACGCGAAAAAAGATGCGCTAATGGGCTAAGTGCAGAAAAAAAGGTGCGCAAATGTCCGGGTGCGCAAAAAAAAGGTCGCATTTGTCCCACTCCCAAAATCTAAGCCATTCAAAATCTAAAGACTTTCAAGGCTCATTTCCACTCAAATCAACATCTGGCTTCATTCAAAAAAACGTATTCAATCTACTGCACTCATTCAAACCCACCAAAGCAGTGTAACGACATGGTACAGCATTTGTCGTAGTTAAAGTAATAAATAATTTCAAGAAAAAGTAAAATCGAATCTTTCACATGTTCTATGAAAAAAGAATTGGGGTGAATTTGTTGTTTTCGTCTACTTTTCGGCTAGGATGAGCGGGGAAATATTGGCAAAACTGAAGAGGGCAAAAAGACGCATAAACAGCGCTTGTTTTTCACTTTTCACATCGGGAAACTGGCTCGAGTAAACAACACATTTTTTTTTTGCAATCACACAGATATAAAAATGAGATCAAAGAAATTATAAAAAGTAAAAACAAATCTATTAATTAACTGTTATTCCACAAAAAAAAAAAATGCTTAAACATTTATTCGCACATGGTAAATACAGTGAGATTTCTTTATATTATAAATTTTAATCCAATTCTTTTCGTTCCATTAACAAGGTCGAATCAGAGGGCCACCGGATTTCACAGAGATTTTTTGCTTGAATGACGAATCCCAAAATCGATTTGTTTTCTCCAAACGTTTACGTGTTGATTCCTAAAGAAAAGGTCTATAATTTGTTCATGATATTTAAAATTTACTTGTGAATTTGCCAGCAAAACTAAACAATGTTAAAATTTAATAGGTAAAGTCTAATAGCTGAATCAAAATGACTGTGAATTTGCCAGCAAAACTAAACAATGCTAGATTTCGAATCGACTTCTAAAGAAAAGAATGTATTATTGGAACCTGTACGTGAAAAAAGAAAACAAGCTTACCGTTATCTTTCGTAAATCATCGATGCTTTCAAGTTTAGGTGAGAGACCGCCGCGCATGCAAATGATTTTCCCGCTAATGATGGCGCACATGGAGAGTTGATTAAACGTTCTCTAAAGAAATGAAATTGAAATCTTTAATTAGTCAATAATTTAGTATTAAATAAAACACCCAAATGAGCAAAACGCTAACGAGCAAAACGCAATCAAAACCCTTTAACGACTTTTAAACTTAACTTTTTCTAACTCTAGACTCTTTCAAGCTAAAGAAAAGAATGTACTGAAAAGAAAGAATGTAGAATGTATAAATTTTAATCCAATTCTTTTCGTTGCATTAACAAGGTCGAATCAGAGGGCCACCGGATTTCACAGAGATTGTTTGCTTGAATGACGAATCCCACAATCGATTTGTTTTCTCCAAACGTTTACGTGTTGATTCCTAAAGAAAAGGTCTATAATTCATGATATTTAAGATTTAAAAATATAGCCTTGTGAATTTGCCAGCAAAACTAAACAATGTTAAAATTTAATAGGTAATAGATAGATGAAAATGACTCATCATTAGCCATTATTAGATTGTAATTTATGTTCAAAAGGCTTACATTTCTAGGGAAGAAAGCCACGAGTTGTTCGCTAATTTTCAGTACACAGCCAGCATTTCGATACTAAAAAGGTTTATAGATGATTGGATAGATTGATATTATAGATGATTAAGTTCAGAAACTTTGAAAAGCTTTTACTTATAATAGAAATGATTCGTCGTTAATAAATAGAAAACACCGTGTCAAAGAGAATCATTTTACAAACTTATTTAATAAATTTAGAAGCGTAAAAGCCACTCACCACAGGAAGACGGCGTCGAGAAGATTGTTGCTGTGCACTTTGTTGTGCACAGCAACAATGCACAGACACTTTGTTGCTGTGCTTTGTTGCTCCATCGCGTTTCCTCGTAACACATCTGATGCGCACGCACAATCATTTCCAAGCCGAGTAGCTGCAACGTTTCTTCAATCAGCTAAAATAAACGATTAATAACGATTAAAGGAATAAGCCGTAGCTGTAAGTGCAAAAATTTTATAAAGTTTGATCCGTAGGAAATTTCTATTCATTTAGATCAATTCTAGAATCAAAATAGTATATATAAAAGTACAAACATTAGGCCCAAATCAAAATCCACTTCCCCGAGCACTGTTCCGCCATTCGTCTTGTGTAGCATCTGGATCCGCCCACATCAAATCGTTGAGAAGTTCATGAAATCGCTTTCGAATCGACTTCTAAAGAAAAAAATGTACTATTGGATCCTGTGCGTGAAAAAATAAAACCTTTAGCTTAATGTTATCTTTCGTAAATCATCGATGCTTTCAAATTTAGGTGAGAGACTGAGAAATTTAGGTGAGAGACCATGCAAATGATTTTGCCCGCTAATAATGGCGCACAAGGAGAGTTGATTAAACGTTCTCTAAAGAAATGAAATTGAAATCTTTAATTAGTCAATAATTTAGTATTAAATAAAATACCCAAACGAGCAAAACAAAAGCAAAACAAAAGCAAAACAAAAGCAAAAGCAAAAGCAAAAGCAAAAGCAAAAGCAAAAGCAAAAGCAAAACGCAATTAAAACCCTTTAACGACTTTTAACCTTAACTTTTTCTAACTCTAGACTCTTTCAAGTTACGTAAAACATTCAACAATACCTGAAAAATTGTTCAAACGAGATCCCCATCCAATCCTCGTTGGTACAATTGAAGGCAACCGTCATAGAAGCCATTTCTTTCTTGTTGATCTCTTGTTCTTCAACATTCTTGTTGATCTCTTGTTCTTCAACATTCTTGTTGATTCGGACGAGTTCATGAATGCCACGCAACAAATAGATGCTCTTTGGGTATTGAATCTAAAGAAATCGTAAATAAAAGAAATGTTCATAGCCTTAACTTGTAGTTCGGACGTAATTTGACCCAGCGGCGGCGCCATTTTTCCAAAAAGTACCCAAACTTCAAGTGTTTTCCTCGAAATTGTAAATCAGTGCATTGGTGGTATTTGGCATAAACTTTATCAATAAAACAACATGTTCAAGATTATTTTGAAAGTTCAACCATCGATTGTGTTTTACTTTTGATTTAAGCTATTACCCTAAAGTCCCGAGTATAAGTTCATCCATAAGTTCCGTAATTTACACTTAAAGGGCATTTAAAGGGATGGAAAATTTTCTTCTTTATTTTTGTTTTTTGTTTTTTTTTTTTTTGTTTTTTGTTTTTTTTTGTTTTATTTTACTAACGTTTTTTCATTTTAGATACGATGAGGAGAAAGTCGTACACCGCCGAAACGAAGCTCGAAGCGGTCAAATTTGCGAGGAAATTTGGAACGAACGCGGCTGCGATCGAATTTGAAGTCGCCGAACAGATGATTAACCGCTGGAAACAAGCTGAGCCGGCACTGATGACTTCACCAAAAAATAAGCGAGCTTTCCGAGGATTGAGGGCAAAATGGCCGGATGTGGAGAAAGATCGATATTGTTCAATATTTGTTGAAATATCACCCTTTCCTTTTACTTCGACTGTTCAGTCGAAGTAAAAGGAAAGGGTGATATTTCAATTGCTTCAACGGGAATGAGAAGACGAATTTCACAGTTGTGCTCGGAATTCTAGCCGATGGATCGAAACTCCCACCGATGCTCATTTTCAAGCGCAAGACTCTTCCTAAAGGAATTTTTCCCGGTGTGATCATCAGTTTCGAAGCTAAGCACAGAATTCTTTTTTATGTCGCTTTAATTGCTTTGAATTTCTTTTGTTGGGTTTTTATACATTTTTATTGTTATATAAACTTTTATTATTGTTCTTGGAGCGCGGGATACTACAGGGTGACAGCCTATCACCATTGCTATTTGTTATGTGCATGGATACATCCAGAGGATAGTGTTGAAGAAGACGCTGGAAAGCATCTCTTTCGACCGTCGACGTGGACTTTGGCCGGATGAAGAGGCCAGGGAGGGATCCATAAGACTGAGCACCGGAGAGGAGCAGGGCGGACGCGCTGAGCCACGCCCGGAGCAACAAATAACAGCATAAAATTTGCTATAACCCTCAATAAATTTACTTCTATTGTTCTTAAAAAGCAAAAAAGTCATGCTGCAGCCGGGTTCGAACCCTCGACACACCGTCAATTTGCATGACAGCCGTCAATTTGCATGCGAAAACCAGACAGAACTTATACTCGCGACTTTAGGGTAATATTAATTAAATGTTCTTTTAGAATGGCCGAATTTGTTGAATCCGTTCAACACTTAGCGGATTCTTTGGTCGACAACTGAAGTAAATTTTTGATCCCTTTGATCCCTTTGATCCCTTTGATCCCTTTGATCCCTTTGATCCCATCAATATTAACAGCTATGTTTTTCAACTTTAAAGTCCATTTTGGGGGTAGGCTAATTTCCGCAACTGGGTCATTTGCTCAATTCGCCATAACTTTCTTCTAACTTTCTTCTGTGCTCTTCGCTCGATCTGGATATTTTCAAGGAGCTTTTCGCAGTCAATACTCAACTAAAAACCAAACTTCAAAGGTTATAATCATAGTTAATCAAGATGGTGTGTTTCGGTGAAGCTGAAAGATATGAATCTGGATGTGTTGACGGCTGTTGTACACTCTCAATTGCCGGAAACGTCGTCAATGTCGTTGTCGTCTCGTATTGCGTTCGTCAAAGTCGTCTCGTATTGCTCGAGCCGCTGATAGGTCTTTATGCGTAAATAATTGTATAATAAACATTTTTTAGATTTATTATGCCTGGATTGAAGTCCCGATGTGAAGCATTTCTCCTCAACGACGTCTCTGCGCACAACGTTTCCGAACGCCTGAAGACCGCCTATGAGCTTCAGCCTATGGGTTTGCTTATCGTTTTTATATTGCTCAATTGGTAGCCTGAATATCTTCAAATTCGACGTAAATCCGAGATACTGCCACGCACTTGCCACTTATCCAGAAGTATGCCTTATCACTTATCCAGTCTCTCCTCTCACCATCGTTCATTCTGACCTCTGGAGAGCCTACAACACCCTCAGTTTACTGCCACACACTTTCCGCCATCTCACCGTCAATGATCTACCTTGTCAGAGCTTCAAGCGCTTATGTAGCTACCTTGTCAATCCTCAGACTGGATCCCACCCCAAAATGTTGAGAGTCAATGGTAGTGCTTCCAGAAAATCAAGCGCAAGCATAGGTTCAACACGTTGAACAACGATCGCTACACAGACTACTTTCAAGAGCTTATGTAGCTACAAGAATTCGGGCAGGATTCATTCTTCAACATCTAGACTACAGCCGCCAACGTGTACCGATGCCAGTGAATCTGCTAAAGAAACCCCCAACGGGCTTCTTTAAAGCCATATACAGACGAATATACATAATAACTAAATTTTTGAGCATGATTTGTACAAGCTTTTATGCTCAAAGAGCTCAAAGACTCATGATTTGCACAAGCTTTTATGCTCAAGCTCAAAAAACCGAATGTTTTGTATATAACATCAGAAAATTGGGTATAACACCAGAATTTAACGTTGAATGTAAATGCAGAAACCAAAAATGAGAATAAGATCTTTATTTGGCCAAGAAATGAGAAAGATTTCAACAATACTACCCGGTTTTTTTCATGAAAACTCTTCATACAGTAGTAGTTACAGCGGGAATTGGGGTAAAGGATCGTCGCGTTTCGGCTTCATCGATGTGTCTTGGTAGCCTGGCAATTTCCATTAGAATTTAAGTGGTAAGTGATTTTAATGCTACAGTTTAATGCCTTCAAAATCGGCAAAACAGCTTTCTAACAAAAGTTATGAGCATTTTAAGTTCCCGGCTGCCTCTATAAATTCCCTTTCACTCGGCAAAACGGGCGCCCTGGTGGCCTAGTGAGTAAGAGCCTTGTATCAAAGACAGTCGGTACGCTTTTTGCTCAGGTTCGATCCCTTTTGCAAAAAAAAACTTTTTTCTTTAATTTTAGTGTTTTCTTTGTTATTTCTTATTTAAACTGTCAAAGATTTAAGTCACTGCCGCTCAGCCGGAATACAGTAGTTTTTAACTATAATTGCTAGGAAAATTCCCAACTTAGGGTCACTTTTTTGACTAAGATAAACACTATGGAAAAAACGTACTCCCACTTCCTGCTACCGGAGCTAAACTAAATTAGTATCTTTTTGTATTTTCTGTATCACTCACCATCACTTGTCCAGGCAGCCGCCTCATTTGAGGCACACAAGGCAAAGAGTCCCCCGGAAACAACGAGTACTATCGTTTCACCCATGAACAAATTCCGCCAAGCAGCTGAAATTATTCAAATTTTGTTTAGAAATCAATAGTCATCCTGATCTTATATCAAAAAAACTCACTGTATTCATTCTTTTGCGAGATAAGCGCTGTGACGAGTGAGGTTAAAAAGAATGAGAGAATCTGAGCGACGAGGAGATGCACAACGACGAAAGCGTTGAATTGTCTGGAGAAAGTGCTTTGTGCTTTGTGCTTGGAAAAGTGCTTTGTGCCCAAGTAAACACACCCTTTCCGGTGCACTGAATTTCCTGATTTTTCTCAGATGCACTGAATTCCTCAGAAACAACTAGATTTCACGAGAAAAATGAGGAATTCAGTGTACCAGAAAAGTTGCGTTTACAAAGTTTAGCTTAAAAAGTACGTAGTTTTTCACTCAAACCAACTTGCTCCTAATTTGAGACATTCGAAAAACGCCTGAATAGGCGAAACCGGAGAAAGCCACGGCTACGGTGCAAAGTCCCATCACGAGATTGCCCTTCTGGAAATTGGTTGATAAAAACTGATAAAAAGATCAGATTCAGTTCGCTTTCTAAAAGACACCTGAAAACTACCGTAATCCAACCGTCAGTTTTCATCGAACCGGCTCAATTTTGGTAATTCGATGAGGAATCACAAGGCTCAATACCAAAATTGAGCTGATCGAATGAAAACTGGCGATTTGACTGCAATAGTTCGCTAAAATAGTTGCTTTTTAGCATGCTAATAAGATATTCAAGCAATTACAGCAAAAAAGTCTTGACACCTTTTTAAAAGCTGCTTATTAGCTAACAAAAGCCGCTAACAAAATTCAGTATCTTGTTGGGCCTCCTTTAGCTTTTATAATCTCCTGAAGTCGATTTGGCATACTTGGGATCAATTTTTCCGTGGTTTGTTGTAAAATCGAGCTCTAAATGTCCTAAACCTTGTCTCAAAGCTCCTTTTTTTGACGCAAATTGGAATCCTCGCAATTTTCGCTTGACATGGGTTCATAAATAAGGTCCATCACTAAGGCTACAATCAAATAAGGTGGTGTTCGAAAATAGACGTCGTTGAGCCGTAGCCAGCCAGGCAATTTCACAAAAACTCCATCAAATCTTCAGTTTTTTGCAATGCATTTTAGGCAAGAAAATCAAATAAATGCAAATTTTTTTGTTGCAAGACTTTTTTTGACCACTGTATATACTGTAATCAGTCCCAATTACCGTAACGCACCTCTGTGGGATCGATGAAAGCAATCACAAGGAAGAGAAGCGCCGGGAAAAGCGTGGACAATAAATGAAAAAAGCGGAGACGATTTGTTTCAGTTAACGATCTAAATATAAGACTTTAGATCTATCTAAATCTATAAAGATCTAACAAATCTAAAGCCTACTTTAACTTCTCAAAAAGTCCAATCGAAAAGTAGCCAACTGGGAGAGAAATCGCCGGGCCGAGAGCCGCCAAGAAACCCGCCCAACCGATCTCCAGGTCTAGGACCTAAATTTGAGAATAAAATAAGGATAATTAGTACTTTTGACTATTTTGCACGCAATTTTACATATTGAAAGAAGAGATTTGGCATTGAAACTGGCAATAAAAGCATCCAAGTTAGCCCAAAAGGTAAAATTTGCCGATTCTAGCAATCCTTTTTTTCTGCATTAGCCTGATACCAACAAAATTCGGCATTTGATGAGATTGCAAAATTGTCTAGGCTTTTTTTTAAATGCAAATTTCACATGGCATGAAAAATAGTCAAAAGGTGTCGATTAATTAGATATTTATTATCTTAATAGCTAGATATTTATATGTCGTAGCCGATTATGAATGAGTGGGTCTAGGAGCGTCCAACCATCAAGTATTTGGTATCATTCAACGCAGAATCATTAATAATTATGTTAAATTTTTAAAATTAGAAAGATTGGATAAAAAGAACACAAATTATGGGGCCTCAAAGTTTCCTCTTGAACAAACAGTTTTTTTGCTCTAATTTTTTTCTTTTTATCAAATCTTTCTAATTTTAAAAGTTTAACATAATTATTAATGATTCTGCGTTGAATGATACCAAATACTTGATGATTGGACGCTCCTAGACCCACTCATTCATAATCGGCTGAAATTCATAATCGGCTACGGGGGGCCCGCCGATTTTGAATGAAACGTTGTAGCGCCGGTAATTTTTAACCTAAACTCACAAATTTGGTACCAATCGACGCAGAATTTAATTCGCTACAGGATGATATAATATTGTCCTCATACATTAAAGGGTTGCTCTACTAGAAAGATTTACCAAAAAATTTCATTCATAATCGGCTACGACATATATATCTAAGATATCTAGGATCTATGGATAAAAACAGTGCTTTACCGTTATGTTCCCCATATTTCCTATGCATCAATACCTTCCCTATAATACTTTTTTACTATGGTAATCTAGAAGTACAATCTTTTGAACGTTTACAACGTTTACAATCATTCATTCAATGCTTAATGGCACTAATGTTACACACAAGGCTTAATGGCTCTAATGTTTGTGCCGCCTATTGACGTGAAAGAAAGCCTATTTCATTGAATGAAGGGCTAAATTCAATACCAATCGACTCTAACCAGGTTGACAGGTATGAGGATTTTTATTGAATGTTCAAAATTTTATTTTACCCCTCGACATCTTTTTCCAAGATAGTTATATCGTTCACACTGCTCAATGTCGTTATGTTCTGCCTCTAAATCCTATTGAAACCAGGGACTCCTTTGACTTCATATTACAAAATTTTTAAAAAATTGCGATTTCTTCGCAGTAATCCTACCATGTAAAGCTCAAGGTTAGTGCCTATTTTGGGTTTTTCTATTTGTCTGAATTCAAGACATTCCTACTAACTTTTCGGCTCAATATGTCGCCAAAAAAAGGCCACAAAATGAGGAGGTATAACGGTATTGATGCATAGCAAAAAAAATCAAGAGGTATAAGGGTAAAGTACCATAAAAACTTTACTTTAACATAAATTGTCGGTACAACTTCCAGCGAAAAAGCGATGATCGAGAAATGAGCAGCCGCTGCCAAGAAACACACCCAAATGCGGAAATCCTAAAAACAACATAGTAATTTTAGATACTAAGATTCAATTTTTAAAGTTTACAGCTGTTTTTAAAACAATATTTATCTCAATTATAATATGCAGCAGCGGCCTTTGTGTTCCCTGTAAACACACCATTTCTAGCGCACTCAACTCCCTATTTTTCTCGCAATATCAAATCATTTCTGCAAGAAAAGTGAAGAATTCCGTGTACCAGAAGGGGTACGTTTACAAAAGTTAGAGCACAACGTACAGCAAAAGGAGATCAGTGTAAACAAAAGCAATCTAGTGCACTAGGTTGCTCGTGTAGCACTCGTGTAGCATACTGTACTTGATATATCGACAGGTAGGGTAGCCTCATCGTGAACAGATGAGATCCAAGGGAATGACCGCGGAAAATCTAGAGAAAAATCTCTGCAAAATTCCCCCCAACTTTGCCCACTTCAGTCCATCGTTTTTCCACGACATCCCATTTGAAATCCTCCGAGTAATGACACATCATGAAGAGGATTAAAAGGATCAATAGAGAGGCTAAAGATATTCTGAACTACAGTGTCATTTTATTAGAATTAGGACGTTTACGGTAGACTATGGTACCCTTATCACTACAGTATTATTTCATTAGAATTAGGATGATTCAGCCAGAATCTGCACTGAGCTTACGGTAGACTACAGTACACTGAGGTTACGGTAGACTACAGCTAGACTCTGCACTAAGGTTATGGTAGACTACGGTAGCACACTTTAGAAGTACAGTGGGACACCGTAGTGAGCAGTACAGCTGTCACAGAGTGCTGTAGCTGCCATAGGGGTATCGCATAATGCAGGGGTACCGGATGCAGGGATACTACAGCTGATATAGGAGTACTGCAACTGATTCTTAAAACGTTTACGGTGTCCAGTTAGGCTGCACTGGGGTTACGGTAACATTTCTAATAGTAACACATTTAGAAACTCGCTGGGGTACTGTAGTTGATGTAGGATAGTGTAGTTGATTTAAAAGTATTGTAAGGGGTACTGTAGCTGTCATAGGGGTACTGTAGCTGATGCAGAATAGTGTAGTTAATTTAAAAGTACTGTAAGGGGTACTGCAGCTGATGTGGGGTACGGTGGTGGTGTTGTAGCTGATATAGGGATACTGTAGCTGATTCTAATAAAACGTTTACAGTATTCAATTTGGCTGACCTGGGTTTACGGTAGTCGGGGGCACACTTTAACCACTTTTGCTAACTAACCAGCCACAATGTGATGCGGTGCATGCCATCCGAGTTCTGTCGCCATGATGATTCCAGAGATTGGGTAAACCAGGACAGCTGATGCCTAAATGTGCACGGTATAGGTACGATAGTCCTTCAAAAATTGACGCCTTTTAAAAAAACAAATCCCCCACCTGCATATAGCTAAACGACATCCACGAGATGTATTTATTCTCTTGAACATCCAAGAAAGCGCAAAGTTTCCCGATAAATGGCACCACACAAATCCAGCCGATTCCTGAAAAGAAGAGATTTTGAGATCTAGAGTTGAAAAATTGAGCAGATTGGACTCTAAATTTCAACTCGATCTCTTACCAGGCTAATCTTTCCCCTACCCTGTAATATCCTCAACATTATCGCTACCACATAAGTCTGCACATTGATGAACATTGGCAGAAAAAACGAGGGAACGATCGAGAAAGCGCATGTCAACAGAAAGCCTCGACTAAAATCGGTTATCTGAATTTTCTGGAAAAAAGGCCAGAGATGTTTTAACTGAACCATATGTACTGTAACCCAGATCCGGGCCAACCAGATTAGCCCCGAGCTGATTCCTGGCAGGTACAGTTCTTGTAAGTCCTAGGTCCTGGTTGCTGGCGATTCCAGGTGCTTTTTGGATCAGGGCCAAGCTTGCAGAATTTTCTGCCAAAGACGGAAAACGAAAAAAAGCCCGTCCACTTGCCAGAGGCATTTTGACTATAATTTGATTTAAATTCAACCTTTATACGTTATTTTGATATCATTCGACGCAGAAAATTTTGCTCTATCAAATGCTATCAAAATAACGTAGAAAGATTAAATCTGAATAAAATTATAGCCAAAATCTCGCTGACAAGTGGACGGGGTTTTTTTCCGTTTTCCGTTTATTTGCGGAAAATTCTGTTAGCCTGGTCAGGACTACAATAAAACCAGATTAGGGGATCTGGACTGGCTTTTGGTCGGATGCTGGCAACTTTGGGAAAGATAAATATTTTTAACACCCACCAAAATCCAAATTTATTGTAGAAGCAGATCAACGGCACAAGGAGGATCAGGAAACCGATTGAGTCAACAGTTTTCAGCATTTCCTAGGAGTTGCTTGTTCAATCGTAATCACAAATCATCTAATACTTTACACATTAAAGACAACCTTTTGCGGATTCGATAGGTAACTTCTTCTTTGCGTCGTGAAATTGATCAACGAACTGCCAAAATCCTCATATCGAAAATCCCACTCAGCATAGACTAAATATGTTGTCTTTTCTAAGAAAAAGTTCCCCGTATCTCGGATGCTTTTTAAATTTAAGTACCGTATTTATTCTTAATAGAAGACCAGAATATCTTCTATTCGAATAAATACAGAAATTAGAATAAATACCGTAATCCAGATGCTACATTAATCCTGCCTTTGAGTGGCTGATGTACCAATTAGAATTTTATAACAAGGCTTTCTGTAGCATCCGGTTTACGGTAGTTTTCTAGGCATCTTTTAGAAAATGGTTTCTATTTATTCTCCTACAGTCTCCTCCCGATCCATTCCCGTAGTTGTGAATCTGCGTCAACGTCAACGAAATCACCAACGAGCAGCCAAAAGAAAGACACACGCACAAAAAGGAGAGCACGAGGAAAGCGTACGGAATCTAAAAAAATGAATTTGTTCAAAATCTTGAGCAATTGAATACAGTATCATTACCAATAAAGCCCCGTGTTTTCTAAAAGGTGCCTAATTTGGAAAGTTACCGTAAAAAACAAAGTTTTCTTTCAAATTTTCCCCGATTTACTTAATTTTGCTCCTATTTTATGAGGAAGCAAGCTATGAGTCGAATGAATTCAAAATTAAACAGAACGAGCAGAATCTGAACGAAAGATTACGGCAACTAAAGGAAAACGGTAACAATACCTTCCCCAAATTATGCACCTTTTAGAAAACTTAGTAGCCAAGAGGGACACAGTTTAGCAAGCAACATAGATACAGTAATTAGAAAAAAAAACCCACCACCGGTCGCTGTTCTTCGAAGTCTTTCGGGAAAGAGATCGGCGGCGGTTCGGTGTCCGACGCGTGGATCCTTGTCGACATTTTAACAAAATACTTCAAGCAATGATCGTCAAACGTCTCTAAAGCAATAATTCTAGATTTTTCTGAGCTAAAACAAGGAAAGGTTGTCAATGTGCCAGCGTTTTCTCTCCCGATTTCCCTCTTTCAAAGCTCGATCGTATCGATTTGAATAATTTGTTTTCATCTCGTTAACATGCGCGTCTATTCTTTTGTCCAAAAAAAAATGAAGAGGAAAAAAGGGAAAAGATGTAATAAAAGATTATAATGCAAACATTTTTAGAATCGTCAGAGCTGTTTTCAATGGCAAAAGTTAGTTTGGATACGATTGGGATTCAAGACAAGACTTTGGACTTCCGAGCATTGAAAACAAATGATAGTTTTCACTCCGATCAAAGTCAAAATATGCAAAGCGGGTTGAGAGGAGGGGAATGATCGGAGAAAAACTACTTTTTTGAAAAATCGATTGCTAAATGTTTTTTCAATGAAAGAATCAGGACAAGGAACTGAGATACTAAAGCTTGACTTCAATTCAGACCCAACACCTGCCTAAATTAGCCAGTGCTTATCATCAGTCTAAACGAAAAATTACTGTAACATTTTGATTTATTACATTTATTGAGACAAGAAAAGAAAATACATAGAGACAATCGAAAAAGTAGGCACGACAAAACACAAGGATCATACGTATTGTAGCAAAATTGCTAACCTAAAGTTGATTGCTGCTTAGGCCTCTTTCGCTTCGTCCTTTGCTCCTACTGATTCTCTCGACAATCGAGCATTCAAACACCTAAACAGAACAAGCTAGAAAGAAAATACTAATTTGTGTTTAAATCAGTTGAAGTCTATGTTATGCTTATCAATTCGAAAAATGTAAAAACCAACTTGTCGAAAAGGGTAATAGCCGGATCGATGATTTTATTGTAGAGGTAGAGGGCACCTTGAGTTTGAGGAAGCGATAGATGAATCAAGAAGATAGCCTAAATAAAACCGATACATGTGTACTTAAAATAGGTCCATTTTATAAAGAAATTCCACCTTAACGACGTAGTAAGAAGGGAACCACTTCAGCAAAGCATCGGTGAAGAAGTCAATCAACGAGAAAAAGGCAAACACCATCCAATAGGTCAGCCATTGAGTGTCGCCGTCTTTCGCCTCCTTGCGAATTGTCTAAAAAGAAAATTAATTCATACTATAAACATTGAAGCGTAATACGAATAGCGCAAATTTGCTTACCTTAACCGTAGCATAAGCAGGATATACAAATCCGATGAGATTGCACACGAATTGAGCGCGTGCTCCAAAAACCAGATACAAACCGAGTAAAACGAATAGTCCATAAGAGATCTAAAAGGTCAAATGTTAGAAATGTTAACCAAAATCCTTCCAACCTCCTCACGTCTGACTCCTGTTTTCTCCAAATTCAGACACATCGCATCGTAGAGTCGACCATGTGAAGCGTAGAGGAAATTCAGGAGATCACCCTAAAATATTGACGTTATATAGAGTTGAACGAAAAGCATCCGCCTAACACATCAAATGATTAAGGTTAGACACATAAAACATGCAATACATGAAATGATTGAAAATCGTCAAAACTTTGACAAAACGATAATGTTTCCTAAAGAGATCCAACCGAACAAGCAATAAAAAAACTCACATGTGCCAACTTGATGTCGTCTTTGAGGTTGCGATCGTTCTTGGCACCCATCTCGATTTGCAGACCGTTGAGAGAACTGAATAAAAGAATTATGGCTGGGATAGCTTGTTTAAGTGCACAAATAAACGATAATGCAAACAAAATCAGAAAATTAAGCTATGTATAAAATAGCAATCAAAAGCTGATATTCTTGACTTTCCAATGAAACGATCATCAGATTGATAGATTTTCTAGAAAATGAGCTCTGAACGGTCAAACATGGGCATGCTGCTTGTATCGATAATATCGATAAGCAAGTCCAAAAATTAGCGACCAATTTCTGAATGTTACATTTACTTTGGCCGTACGCTTTACGTCGAATTTGAAGATATTCAGGCTATCAATTGAACAATCTGCAAGAACAAATTGAAATTGAACTAACAATTGACCAGTATAAAAAGTAGCCGCATTGCGTTATTAAAGCACAAGCTTTCTTCGAGAAATAAACTTTGAACACTTAAAAAGTTTTTATTCAAGAACCAAATAAATAATGCATTGAACTCAAAGCAGCATTTATTAGGTTGAGAAAAAAGTTCTGACCAAGCTGCGAAAAATTCAATTTTTATGCATTTTTTTGCTGGTTTTTCGCGTTTATAGTGTTGTACCAATCTTCATCTTTGTATTCCATATGAGTTTGCAAGAAAAAGAGCTTCGAGCTTTGATCCACTATTGCTAGAAGAAGAAGTTGAAGAAGCTTGTCAAGAGTTCTTTGATTCGAAACCGAAGGAGTGGTACTTCGACCAGATCCGAAAGCTTGCAGATCGATGGCAGAAAGTCGTAGATGATGATGGGCTATACTTTGAGGTATAATTGTTGTTATTTTTGTTTTTAAATTGCGCACAAAAATTGAATTTTTCGCAGCTTCAGACTTTTTCCTGATTCAGGACTTTTTCCTCAACCTAGTATTGAAATCCGCAAGAACCATGTAATTTGAAGGTGAGGATTTACACAAATTCAAAGCTAATCAATCACACAGAGAAAAGGAAGATGCAAGTAATCGAATTGATTCTTTTAGGTGAGCAGAGTTGAGCGGCTGATCGATGCAGTCACAACGCAGGGATCACAATTGGACGAGGGGCGACGATCTTCAAGGTAACCCTAAAAGCAATAAAGTTTAACATTCTCATAATACAAGAAAGAATACCTTTTTGTCGGCATCAACTTGACGAGGAATTCGAACCGAGCATCCACGATTGGCCACTCCCCAAGTGAATTTGTCGGCGCTGCTTGTTAAAAAGATTTTTATCTTTTTTAATGGCCGAGTCGAGTCTCGGCCGATCGCTGTTCAGTTGACGAACCATCTTAGTTCCAAAGCGGGTATTCTAGATGGAAATGTTTAATGCAAAGAAAATAATAAAACCAACCCCTAACTTTTGATGCCTCTTGTCGAGGGTTCGCGTTTTGCAGCGGAGATTCCCTCCCGTTTCATCAATCCACACGTAAGTTGCCTAAAATATAGCCAAATTATCAAGGATATCAAAGTAAAAGTGAAAAAAGTCATGCATGAAGCAAATCTTGGTCTCCAAAACCTAGGCAACAAAAAGTAAAGGAATCGAACCTGGCATTTGATCGGATGCAGTTGGATGCTGAGGAATTGGTCGACGGTGAGCGTTCCAAGTGGCAGATAGACGTTGAAGTTTGCCGAGTAGGAGTACAAGAGTAGAAGCGGTTGAATGAGTGGAATGAAGAACCTATTGGAAAGACTTCTTTTTAAATGATCCATAAATTAAAATCTCCGTTTGTTTCGACACAAATTCAAATTTACCTAGCCAATTCGAAAGATTATTATAGCATTCAATGTTTCTCTGCAAGTTTTTGTGTTTTTCAACTCATTTTTCTATTCTGCATTTTTAAACTAGATTTACTTTCGTTGCACAAATTGTTGAAAACGGGGAACATAGGTAAACATTAGAAGATTAAAAACAAATATCAAGATAATCACAATGGGAACAAACTAATCACAGAAAACTGGGGGAGCATAAGGAAACCCAATAAAAGTACAAGAGATAGAGACATTAGTAAACGATGCATACCACAAAGTAACGTACAATGAGATTCGTCGAATTTTAACCCGTGTGTAGACAAGTTTTGCGGTGATGTCGAATTTTGCTTAAATATCCGTCTCGCTAGCACGGCGACGCTTCACCGATGGATATCTAAACACGCGGTGGTTTAAAATATTAGTTCAAATAATCACTTGTTGTTTTCGGCCAGCTTCCAGGCATCCTCCACAATTTGTCCAGACAATTCGGGGTCCAAGCGTCGAAGATCTTTCCATTCCTAAATCAACAAAGGTTATATTTATGCTACAACTTTCACAGTACCTCAGTTTTGACGACTTCCTCTCGGTTGCGAGCAAAGTAGCCAACGGTTTTGCGTTTAAGCTTCTGAACACACAAAGCATTACAAATTATTTTGCAAACTTACATTCATCTGAAGCTCATAGGCGGTCTTCAGGCGTTCGGAAACGTTGTGCGCAGAGACATCGTTGAGGAGAAATGCTTCACATCGGGACTTCAATCCAGGCATAATAAATCTAAAAAATGTTTATTATACAATTATTTACGCATAAAGACCTATCAGCAGCTCGCGCAATACGAGACGACATTGACGAAATTTGTGGGCAATTGAGAGTGTACATATAGTTTACAACAGCCGTCAACACATCCGGGTCTATATCTTTCAGCTCCACCTAAACACACCGTATTAATTAACTATGATTACACAAACCTTTGAAGCTTGGTTTTCAGTTGAGTATTGACTGCGAAAGACTCCTTGAAAATATCCAGATCGAGCGAACAGCACAGCACGATGAGTCTTGATTTCATTGTTTCCGCAAATGATTGAAAAGTCGGTCAGTTCACCCGAGTCGAGAAGTGACGAGAAACCACCTAGAACCACAATAATAATCATCGTATGTCAAAACAGAACCATCATATTCATCCTCGGGGACGGCTATTCCTTGTTGCATCCCATCACTTAAAGCACTTTTGCGCTTACGATCCATCAAGAAGAAAGAAGCACTAACATAATGTTTGCGTTTTATTGACTGAAAAAAACCTACTTCGTAAGAGATTGTTTTTGTCGTCCAGTGGCCTCCGCGGGTTCCTCATCAACGTCAGACAATTCGATTTCGCTTTTGTCGTTGTGAAGTTCGCCGAACACCACCAATTCAACCGACACCGTCAGTGTATCGTCGGGAAGCAAGCGATTGCCGCGTGACTAAATCAAAAAATAGTCTAAAAGACAACTAAAGTAAAACCTTCAAAGAATCCAGAGAGAAGAATTTGCTGGCAGTGACGATTCCTCCGCGATTGATGGTGACGACATTCTTGTTGAGCGCACAATTCCTTGGGCCATCAAGTGTATCCAGCGAAAAGTTGACTCTGAAGGAGAGACGGCTTGATGGACAGTCTAAAAAGTTGTTTACAAAACTCATCAAGAATAAACGTTACCTTTAATCAGCAAATAAAGCGAAATGTATCCACTACAATCCTCATCTTTTCCAGATGGATAGAGTCGAAGTTGAAACTTGTAAGGGCCCGATCCGAAGCAACTACATGAAATGGTTTACGAATTAACAGGAGTTGCAAAAACCTTCCTTCCACCGATTCACCGGGGGGACAAAGCTCTTGTTGAACGCTGAATTGCTCAATCGACCATTTGTTGATGAAGTGAATCTAAAACACGAATATAGCAACATGTGTTAAAAACAAAGAGGTTTAACCGTTCTTATCAGAATAACTATTATTCAAAAAATTTTCCACCTGTTCCATACGAGTTGTCGTTTCCGTGTAGTGTGAGATGCCGTCGACCAAGGAAACATTTTTACGGCGACGCCCTTGGCCATTTTCCTCAGCAGTGTAATCCAGCGGATGATTCATTGACTTGAAGCTAAAAAGAAAGATTTGCAACATTTAAAAGTAAAATAGACAGAAAATTGAGTGCTATAGCAGTTGGGGGGGGGGAAGTTTGACAACACCGGTTTTTTCAAACTTGCTACTAGTTTTAAAAACTTTTTCTGGGGTAATTAATTGCACTGAATCCATTGGAAGGATTTATCAAACATTCTAGACAACTTTTATGCCAGTTTGAGCAACGATTCCGAGCCTTCAAACGTGGCTCTATTTCCCCTGGATTTAGAGGTGCGGGATCGAATTAAGAGGCTTAAAACCACAGTAACTGCTTGAAATAGCTAGAAAGTAGTCACAAAAGCTTCAATAAATACGAAATTAAGAAAATACGCCATTAAAAACCCTAGAAGCAAAAATTAGTGCGCTCTGGCTCCATAGAGATGAATACCGGCTTTCCCCCAACTACTATAACACCAAAAATTGAAAGATTTAAGCTAAAAAGAAAGATTTACAAAGTTTAGAAGTCAAATAGACACAAAATTGAAAGATTTAAGCTTCTTAACTTCTTAACGCTCCAAGATGTGCTGATAGAGTAGACAATTAAATTTGAGAAAAAAACATCTGCCAATGTTTTATAATGTTTTTAAAATGAAGTAAATGGGCCTAAAGATAAAAATTATCAAGGGCTTATTCAATCAATCAACTTTCGCGCACAATGCGCTCAGTCATCTGTCCAGCTTTTTTTGCAGTTTTCAACTAAACCATACAAATGACACTATTCAACGCGCGGGAAGACAAAAGAGAAGTTGAAAAAGAAACAATTAGACACATATTAGAATAGAATACACTGAATAAGAAATAAGTGTATCTAATATTGGAGAAAATGATCTTGCAAGAAATCGCATCACAAAAAATGAAGTTGAGCTTTTTATCGCGACAAGTTTGCGCCAATTTTCAGGACAAGGCGGCTTACGGTAGACTTTGCGTGTGGAACCAATTTGAAAGACAAAACGGCTAGGTCAAATTACAGAAAATTGTTGATTTTTCTCTTTGTATAACTCCGTCCGTTCGCTTCCACAAGCTCTGATATGCCAAAATTTCGATTCTACGCCCTAAAATTACCTAGAAAAACAACTTTTGGAATAGAAATTGGTTAATATTAGCTTTTTAGAGCTTTTTAAAACGCGAAAAAAGGTGCGCTAATGCGCAAGGCGCGGAAAAAAAGGTGCGCAAATGTCCGGGTGCGCAAAAAAAAGGTCGCATTTGTCCCACTCCCGTATTTTTGTCTTTTTCTAGATCCGGCCCGGTCAGAATCTAGTCTCTGGCTTTTAAATTAATCATTTTCACACGTAAATTAAATTCTAGTCTGGTCTTGTCCTAGTTTTGGTGCTGATGACAAAAACCAGACCAGGATTGTCAAGTTGAAAATCACTGTGTGACAAGAACTTGTTCCCAAACGCTTCATTTCCATCTCCTCCCCAGCTCCCATCTCTTTCTGAATGCTTATTGAGATGAATCGATGAGATGACTTGGATGAATCGTTGAAGAGTTATGAGGCTGTCCAGAAAGTCTTTTCGCTTTTCGTACTTCCGTTTAAAACAATAAAAATGCAAACCGACTTGTTAAAATGAAATGTGGCTCGTAGATTCAAACCAAACGCTTTACCAACCCTAACCAAACGCTTTACGAATATGTCGTTATTAAAAGCTATCAACCCATTACTAATTAAAACACTTAATCAAATTACCGTATTTCTTCGAATAGAAGACAGGGTAAAGAGTATCATCGCGTACTCCTGCGTAGCAGCCCTTTTTAAAATTTCTTTTCTGCATAAAAGCTTTCCATGAAGTGCTATAGAGCTGGAAAATGGCTCAAAAAGCTGTTAGCTCATGTGGTATTTTTGAGTCATTTTCCAGCTCTATAGCACTTCATGGAAAGCTTTTATGCAGAAAAGAAATTTTAAAAAGGGCTGCTACGCAGGAGTACGCGATGATACTCTTTACCCTGTCTTCTATTCGAAGAAATACGGTATTTATTCAATTAGTATAGCATAAAAACCGTAGACACCTATTGTAAGAAGTAATGAAAATGCAATATTAAGAAAAAATATCATCAGTAATGGGCGATTTTATCATCAATCTAACGAATATTTTTCCTAGATAATCACAATTAGAAGGAAACGATAAAAAGGTTTATTGGATATACGTTTTAGTCGTTTTAGCCGTTTTAGTCGTTGTCGTTAGAATATGGCCAAAATAAAGAATATAATATTGACACCGGAACACCAGAAACAGAACACAGAGGGGAATACAACCTACACAGCACCTGACTTCGGTTTGCCTTGTGCAGAAAAGTATGGAGGTAAGGAGGCAAGGACTTTGATCTTTTTGTGCCCGTATCGAAGATCAGCGTCAACACCAACTAAAGCAGCCATATATTTTCAAAGAAACAATAGCTAACCTGGAGCTCATCTTGAGGTGCTAAGTGCTGAACCAATAAAGAAACAATAACCAATGCATAAAGCTAAAACAAAATATACTCGATTAAAAGCTAGTATGAAACTTGTTGAGTGCCGGTGTAAACTGTTGTTGGTATTTCTTCATTCCTTGTGTTGAAAACAGCAAACTTGGCCTTGTATCGAGCTTGTTGGACAGTGCAGAATACCTAGACAGATTTAATTTACTAGATTACTAGATTACTAGATTACTAGATTACTAGATTACTAGATTACTAGATTTACTAGATATAATTTACTGTAAACTAGGTAAACACTTTAATGACTGCCAATAAAAATAGAATGGTACCAGAAAAAAATCCTTATTGCTTTCTTGAAATCCTTATTGCTTTCTTTGTTTCCTTGTGGATGTAGCCGAATTCGAAAAGGCATGATTGGTATTATCAATTCCATGATTATCAAGTCCAACGCTTTGAGTGGGAATTGTGCTAATCTAAGAAAATCACATAGACTGCTTAACTTAACAACTTAAAAACTTAAAAAACAAACTTCTTCCTTCAATTTCACAACAGTCTCCAAAAAACGGGATTCACATTGCGAAAATCCTCGAATCGCCGTGATTATGTTGAAGCGATTTGACCTAAACACACAAATTGAATCGTGATTTAATGATTCGTGACGTAATTTCATAAGTATACCTTTTAGCAAAATGGACTTTAAAGTTGAAAAACAAGGTAAGACTGCAGTTTACCCTAGCCATCAAAAGCCAGCCATCAAAAGCCAGTTATCAAAAGCCAGCCATCAAAACCATCAAATGTGGTTTTTCTGACACACAAGAGAAGGTCACAAAATCAAGGTGGCCAATCGAAATGAGGCCGAGACCATCCGATGCAGAATTTGACGCTGATTCCGAATTTGCTGTTCCTTTTTGCTAAATAGATCAGAATCGCAAGGAATTTGACAAACAAGTTTTTTTGGCCTCTCTTATAACGCTTGCGTCCGCTTTATGGTTGCGTAGTGTAGCGGATAACGTGTCGAAATGCAAAGCCGTAACTGTAAAGCAAAACCTGTGCAAAGGTTTCGACTTCCATTAGGTTTTTCTTTTTTTGAAAAGCTGTTTTATAGTGTTTCTTAATCCCCCTTCTATTCGAAATTGCTAAATATTCAAAAATTTTGTTCACATCTTTCTATTCTTCAACAACAAATAATATAATTTGCCATAAATTTCTTCTAAGTAGGCCAATCTTTATGTTTTTGGTTTCATTTTGTAGATCTCAATAAGCGCAACAAAATGACACCAGAAACATAAAGATTGGCCGACTTAGAAGAAAGTTATGGCAAATTACGCCAAAGATCCAGTTGCGCAAATGACCCTGTTGCCTAAATAAAATTGCAGACATTAGCCTAGCCCTTGGATTTTATTTTTTAACGCAATTAGGAAAAGGAACTTTCTGGATAGCCTAATAATTGCTTTGGAGAAGAGAAAGAGATTGAAAATCCTTGATTGTTGAAAAGCGATAGAATAAAGGGGGAAAGAGACAAACACGTGCTTTCTTCAACGACTCTTCAGCTCCTTCAAACCCTAAGCACACCGCCTGGCACCTATTTTAGGATATTCTGAATCTTCAACTTCAGCTTTATTTTTCATCCTTTTCCCCAATGTTTTCAAATCATTGTTTATATCGATTTCACAATTGTTTCCGGGTTCTTTTCAATGTTGTTTTCTTCTTTCAATGTTTTCTTCTTTCTTGTTATTTTCTTCTTTTGTTTTCTTCTTTCAATCGTATTCCCGTGAATCCCGTGAATCCCATGATTGGTGAGAATCGAATTCAAATCTCCCGGTCCATCAAAAGCAAAAATCAAAAGTCAAACGGGAATTGAAACATTGCACAAATGAAGAAAAATGAAGAGAAATGAAGAGAAATGAAGAGAAATGAAGAGAAATGAAGAATTAAGTGTGTTAGAGGCGGTGTGCTTACAAATTTGCGCAGAAAGTACAATTCTAGCCGCAAAAACACACTTTCTGGCACACCAAGTTGAATCCAATCCAGGATCCAATCCAGGCTTCAATCCAGCATCCAATCCAGGCTTCAATCCAGGCTTCAATCCAAGATCCAATCCAAGATCCAATCCAGGATCCAATCCAGGATCCAATCCAGGATCCAATCCAGGATCCAATCCAAGCTTCAATCCAGGATCCAATCCAGGATCCAATCCAGGATCCAATCCAGGATCCAATCCAGCATCCAATCCAGGCTTCAATCCAGGCTTCAATCCAAGATCCAATCCAGGATCCAATCCAGGATCCAATCCAGGATCCAATCCAGGCTTCAATCCAGGCTTCAATCCAGGATCCAATCCAGGCTTCAATCCAGCATCCAATCCAGGCTTCAATCCAGGCTTCAATCCAAGATCCAATCCAAGATCCAATCCAGGATCCAATCCAGAAGCAGATCAATGGATTTCTCGTCTCAATTTCTAAAACGTGGCAACTTTTGAAATCTACTGTCTTGATAGCTTTTGAAATATACTATCTTTTTTTTGCCGTAATCTTGATTTCTATCGTAATTCTGATTCCTACCGTAATCCTGGCTAGACTGAGACAAGATTACGGTAGTTTAAAAGATAAAAACTTTAGAAAACGATTCAAAAAACTTCAATCCCCACAAAATTTTCCCATTTTTCGTTCTTATTTTCACAAATTTTCCCCTTTTCTCCTTTTCCTATCACTCTCTAAAAGCGAAAAAGAAACTTTTAACGAACGTGGTCGTTTTTGATAAATAGATTCCCTTTTTGCTTGGTTTTTGGTCAAAGTTTGATGCCCAACAGCTTTTTTTTGAAAGGATTTGGGTCCTTTTTTGGAAAGAATTGATGAGTCTTTGCAATTCACGCAAAGAGAAAAGAACCAAATCCCAAAATGCTCAAATTCTCTCGTTAAAATGCCAAAATTTTTTGGCTTTTTTTGGAAAGAACGCCTTGGATGATGTCATTTTGATGAAAATCTGCAAATAACATCAAAAATTCGAGAAAATTCGAGAATTTGACGCTATTCGAATTCCATTCAAAATGATTTTCGAGGAAAGTAGAGTAGAGATAAAGTAGAGAATTAAATTTGTTAAAAAACATCTCCCAACGTTTTATAATGTTTTTTGGACCATTCCGTTTGAACCATTCCCTTTGGACCATTCCATTCCCATTCGGCCATCGGATTCGAGGTAACACTCAGTTCTCTTCGCTTTTTACAAGAAATCACACAAATTCCTAATAAAATTAACGTCGGATTCGGAAAGAGGATCCAAAATTACATGTTCTTGGAAATTTTGTTTAAAGTCACTCGTCGTTAAAATCATAATCACTTGTTGTCACTTCTCAGTCACAGTCATATTTTTGAACGCGATTTTGAATTTCAAATCTCTTTACCCAGTTCACTTTTCAAATGAATACCAGCTTTTGCATAAATCTTTGCCCTGTGCTCATTTTCCTTTCAAAAATACATCATTCGCGCGTTGCCTAGCGATTCTTTTATTCCCTTTTTCGGCAAAACAACGCCAAAAACCGTCAACTGACATAAGATTTAACGCATTTCCAAGTACCTTTGTCCATTTTGCCATTTTAGAATCATTTTTTTTGATTGATTAATCTTTGTTTGAAGTTTCGCTTAATCATTTGTCATTTTTTCTTCATTGTTTCTTCATTTTGTCAGCACTGAGTTCATTTTTTCAACTTCCCAAAGTTCTTTATCAAATTGACAGAATAAGTTAACGAAATGTCATCAAAACTTTACTTAGAGTGCGATTTCGAAAAAGCAACTATTTTAGGCAAAAACTACCAATCAATTTTCATTTGATCAGCCTAATTTTGGTATTGGTATTGGTATATTTCGATGAAAAATCACAAGACTCAGGTTTTAATGAAAACTAGTTGATGACTTCTAAAATGAGTGTCTTTTAGAAGTATTAGAAGTCTTTTAGAAGCATTAGAAGTATTTTAGAAAGCATTAGAAGTCTTTTAGAAAGCATTAGAAGTCTTTTAGAAGTACTAGAAACCTTTTAAAGCTTTTCCTAGGTAATCTCCTCACTACTTTCATCAGCTTGAAGCAAAAAACGTGATAAAGCTTGTACCAGTTCGTGTCTGAAGCATTCAATCACTCTTTTTTTCTCTTGTTTTGATCATTTCATTTGCCGCTGGGTGGTCTGCTTGAAAAAGAGTGCGTCTTGAGTGACTCTTTGAGCTTTGATCTCTTGCTATTACTGGGAAAAGAGTGTTGTTGACGTTCCTTACAATCTAAAGTCGTTGTAATCGAGCTTTGTCACGTTGAAAGAGTAGTTTATTTTGAAACTTTAGCAATCTTAATCAATAAATCTAAGCACAGAGAGAACGATGCGATTCGGCAGCAGAGTTTCCAATTTTGAAGTTAAACAGTAATGCTGCTCACAAACTTTTCCTCGACCATGATCTAAATAAAAAATATAAGTATTTTTAAATAAAATAAACAACAACCAAGAAATTCAAATGTCGAAATAAATCGTAAACAAATATGCGAACAAAACAAAAAAAATAATGCCGTTAGCATCGCTCGTTTCTGATAAATGAGAGCTGATACCCATCGGCAGTTTCTTTTGCAGTTTCTTTTGCACCACCCTAATAGTAAGTTGAAAACGTTCTAAACTCTATAATATAAAGATCTTCATTGTAAAAAGGACAAGACATCAGTCTTTCTTGAGTTAAAGCTAAAGAGTTAAAGTTCTTGAGTTAAAGCTCAGTCAGATACAAGGCCTAGACTCTTACTCGGATCTTTGTAGCTCTTACAGGATTTTTACAGGAAATTTTGCTTATAAAAATGCTATAGATAAGTTGAAAATGTTCCAAAGTCTTTATTCCAAAGTTCCAAAGTTCCAATTTTTTAAAAGTCCCGTGTTTTCCCGTGTATTTCTCTCCAGTTTCTATTTTTAGTTCTCACTTTACTACGAGAGTGGATGGAATCTCTTTTCCATGAGAGATCACCGAATTTTTTGATCTTTCAGCTGCTCGGATCACAATAAAACCCATGCCGATCATTTACGAGTGAGTGAGGGCTGTCTACGAGAGGTGCTAAAGAAATTCCCCGTTTTTTTTGTCATTAGTAGAACGAAAGACAAACAACGTAGAGGATAAACACTTTTTATTTAGAGAAAACTATAGATTCATTGGTAAATTTGTTATTTTTCAACGGAAGTATGAAATGGAATGAAAAGACTTTCTGGACGGTTATCAAGCATTTGATACGCGCCTCGCCCCCTTTGCCATTGGCAATCTAACTTTGAGCTTAAAGATCTTGGACTGTCCAATTTAAATCTTCTTAGTATCATTAGATGCGCCAAGTCTTTCTCTATCGATTGGTACAAAAACTATTTAAACTGGACAGTCGAGCACCAAGATCTTTAAGCTCAAAGTTAGATTGCCAATGACAAAACAGACGGGGCGCGGGGCAGGGAGTATAAAAAGCGCCCCGCTCTCTTTGCCATTAGCAATCTAACTTTGAGCTCAAATATCTTGCTGTTGGGTTATCCAATTTAAATAGTTTTTAAACCAATCGACAGAGAAAGCCTTGGCGCATCTAATGATACTAAGAAGATTTAAATTAGACAGCTCAGCACCAAGATATTTAAGCTCAAAGTTAGATTACCAATGGCAAAGGGGGAGGGCGTCTTTTATACGCTTATAAAAGGCAAAGGAGGCGGGTCGCGTCTAAAAGGCGTCCCGCTCCCTTTGCCATTAGCAATCCAACTTTGAGCTCAAATATCTTGATGTTGGGCTATCCAATTTAAATAGTTTTTATACCAATCGACAGAGAAAGCCTTGGCGCATCCAATGATATCAAGAATATTTAAATTGAACAGCCCAACACCAAGATATTTGAGTTCAAAGTTCGATTGCCAATGGCAAAGGGGCGAGGCACGTATAAAAGCTTTTCAGAAATCTGATAAAATGTCCCAGATTAAATGTCCCAGAATATTTCTGGACAGCGTAATAATAGGCTAACTTTGAAAGCTTTTTTTCGCAATTACCACATTTCGGATTAGAGTTTTGTAAGCATAAATTATAAGTTTTGTAAGTTTGTAACGCATCCTTCCTAGCGCACTGAATTATCTCACTTTGTTGCAAGAAAAAGAAGAATCCAGTGCGCCAGAAAGGATGTTTTCTTAGTCCAAAGTACACCTCAAGAATCATCAGCACATCTCTCTTTCCAAGCTTTACACAAATGATTGCTCAACTCAAAAAGGCACACGAAAGACTAATCCCAAGGTTGTTTTTCTCAAGAAAATTGAAAAGGAACCTCGTTTTTTTTAGATGTTTTCCCCTTTCCCTTTTCATGGCCTCTCTTTTGTTCAATCTTTTTTTTTCGCCAGCATTTCCCCTCTTCTCAAAAAGCCGTTCTTTTTCTCGGATCTCATCCCGGGAAATACGTTTTTTTGGCCAACTTTTTAGTCAGCCAAAGTTATGCATCTTTTTTTTGCCCAAATTCACATAGATCGCTTTAGAGTAGGAATGGATTTGTAAAAGGTGGACTGTTAGACTGTTAGTCTGTTAGTCTGTTAGTCTGTTAGTCTGTTAGTTTGTTAGTTTGTTAGTCTGTTAGTTTGTTAGTTTGTTAGTCTGTTAGACTGTTAGTCTGCTAGTCTGTTAGTCTGCTAGTCTGTTAGTCTGCTAGTCTGTTAGTCTGTTAGTCTGTTAGTCTGTTAGTTTGTTAGTTTGTTAGTCTGTTAGTTTGTTAGTTTGTTAGTCTGTTAGACTGTTAGTCTGCTAGTCTGTTAGTCTGCTAGTCTGTTAGTCTGCTAGTCTGTTAGTCTGTTAGTCTGTTAGTCTGTTAGTTTGTTAGTTTGTTAGTCTGTTAGTTTGTTAGTTTGTTAGTCTGTTAGACTGTTAGTCTGCTAGTCTGCTAGTCTGTTAGTCTGTTAGTCTGTTAGTCTGTTAGTCTGTTAGACTAATGTGATTTTACTTTAGAAAAGCTTGGGCTAGTATTGTTTTTGAACTGATTGAAGTTATTGAAATTGAATAAACACGAGAGTTATTGCGATTTTTGCTTTAATAATAAGCTCTAAGGGTTATGGTAACTAGGTAGCTTCTTTAGATAAGCTTCTTCTTTAAGGGCTATCATAACTAGCTTCTTTAGATAAGCTTTAAGGGCTACGGTAACTAGATAGCTTCTTTAGATCAGCTTTAAGGGTTATGGTAACTACAGTACTGGACAATGAAATATCATATTTGAAAAAACACTTTCGCACTTTCGCGCGTCTGTAACTCCCTTGTCTTTGAGTTTAAACTATCAGTTAACATTTTCTGAAAGCTCTTTTCAAGGACTACACAATGGTAATATTAATATTTAGAAATACGGTAAAGACAAGGGAGTTACAGACGCGCGAAAGTGCGAAAGTGTTTTTTCAAATATGATATCTCATTGTCCAGTAGTGTAGATAGCTTCTTTAGACAAGCTCTAAGGGTTATGGTAACTAGATAGCTTCTTTAGATAAGCTTCTTCTTTAAGGGTTATGGTAACTAGCTTCTTTAGATAAGCTTTAAAGATTACGATGTCACTTTTCCAAGGCCGTCTTTTAGAAAAGACTTAAACCGAGACTTTTACAAAAGCAACAACCAAATCACTCTTGTAAAACGAATAAGATTCAAGTTCTACATTCAATTCTACCTCTTCTACATTCAGTTCTTAATTCTCAAAGCATCTGAAGAAAAAATAGCTTTCACAAAGCCTCCAAAAATATCTTCTCAAAGCCTTTCACTCCTGCAAAATATTTTCAAGAGCCAAATAATCCTTTCTGAGATCCCTGAAGTCTTTCTTTTTCCCGATCTCCAATTAATGCTTTCCAGATGTACTAAATAAATCTCTTTCTTTTAAAGTTCACTTTTATAATTCCCTTGATCAAATGTGATAAACAAAGTCGCTCATCGATTTCTCTTTTGTTTTTTTTGACAAAGGAAAGGCCAAATGAGATAATACGTAGACGATTCGACGCAGAATTTCACACTGATTCAGAATTTGCTTTCTGTTTTTGCCAAATAACTTTCTACAAAAAGTTCTACGTGTTTGAAGTTGCGGAGAATGCGAAAATCTAGAGCCAAGAGGGATGTCTTTATAACGGTTCGCTCACGGATCTGATGGGTGATCTCCAACGTGATCTGATGGTGTAGTGGATAAGTTGCTTGCATACAAAGCGGGTATCGCATTATTTTGCTCGAGTTCAATTCCTTTTTTTGGCAAAACTTTTGCTATGCGCTTCTAAATGCTCTGCGAAATATACCATTCGACGCAGAATTTTATGCTGATTCCAAATCTATATTCTGTTTTTGCTAGATGACAATCTGTGAGAAGTTACAAGCGTCTAAATTTTTGTTAGGACTGAGGGTTTTGTTAAGACTGAGGGTTAAAAATGGGAACTTATCGGTCTTGAAAATGGGATTACTTGGGTCTTAGCGCCCTTCTTTTCGGCCGTTCGGCCCGTTTTCAGGCAGCCGTGGCCGAGTGGTACAGGGTTTGTTTCCAGAGCTAGACCTCACTAGTTCGACCTTGCCCTCGGATTTCTCTTCTTCAAGAAGTGCTGGCTAGCGTTCTTTGTGCGCGCGCAGAATCAATCTATCATATAGCTTTCCAGATATAAAGCTGTGGCGAATAGCCACTAAAAAGTTGCCTAACTCTGACAGCCTAAAAATTGGAAAAGTATTGCGGAAATCCGTGCGCCTTCATTCTATTTCGCGCCCAAAATCATTTATTTTTTTGTAGCTTGTTAGCTGAATATCTTTTTCTTTTTGATCTGTCTTCGCACTCAGGTGTTCCTATTTGCGCAGATCACAACCTGCTTCCACATTTCTCTATCCCTTGCTATTGTCATTCAGTGTTTCCTAGCTTGATTGTTCCTGGTTCGAAGTCTTCGACTTGCTGGTGCTGGTGGTGGTTGCACTCTAGCCATCCTTTCTCTGACCGTCTCTGCCACTCTTGTGCTCCACCTCGTTGCTGGTCTTCCGACTGGCCTCTTCTGGTCTCGTGGTAGCCACTCTATGATCCGTATCGTCCATCTGTCGTCTGTTCTTCTGGCTACGTGACCGGCCCATCTGAGTCTTTTTCTCTCAATCACTTCCACTGGATCTCTGAGTCCCGAGAGCTGGCGCATGTCCGTACTTCTTAGGTCCTGGTCGAGCTGCGTCTTCCTATTGTACCCGAGGAGGTTCCTTTCAAGGGCTCGATGCGTCGTTCTCAGGGCTCGTTCAGTGGTCTGTGTCGTGGCCCAGGTCTCTGTCCCGTAGCAGAGTGCCGGGAGGACGGTGCTGTCGAAGAGGTGTGCCCGAGTTCTCTGGTGATTCTTGAGCATCTTTGTGACTTCTTGATGCTTCCTAGTGCTGTCCAGGCAGCTCGTCTTCTTCTGGCGACTTCTGGTCTTAGGTCTCCCTCCATGTTGATGCTTCTTCCGAGGTAGGTGTAGGAGGTGACTTCTTCTAGTGGTTGACCTTCCAGCTTGATCTCTCCAGGTGGGCACCATGCGTTCCTCATGCTCTGAGTCTTTTTCCTGTTCATCTCGAGGCCAATCTTCTTGCTGACCCGGTCGAGGTCTTCTAGCATCCGTTGGGCCTCTTCTGGTGTCTTGGCGCAGAGCACGATGTCGTCTGCGAAGCGTAGATTGGTGATGTTTCTGCCGTCTACCGGGATGCCGTAGTCTTCCCACTCGAGGTCTTTCATGGCATACTGGAGAACCGTGGTGAAGAGCTTGGGCGAGATGGTGTCTCCTTGGCGGACCCCGCGCTTGATAGGGATGTGGACTTCCCTCTCGAACATCTTGATGGTGGTGGTAGCCTCCGTGTAGCAGTCTTGTATCGCGTGGATATATCCGAGGTCAATCCCGGCGTCGAGGAGAGCTTGTGTCACTGCGCCGTGTTCCACTGAGTCGAATGCCTTCTTGTAGTCGACGAACACCAGGATGAGTGGTATTCGGAATTCTCGTGTTCTTTCGATCAGTTGGGTGACGGCTTGAATATCTTTTTCTGTGAATAAAATGTTAATTTTCTTCACAATG